CAAAGAGAACTTCGGGGACAACAACTCGCCGTGGCTGCTGGTAATCCCGACCGACCTTCGAGGGGAGATCTTTCAAGCATGTCACGACGACCCGACATCCGGACACCTTGGATACAGCCGGACACTGGCCCGTATTCGTGAAAAGTATTACTGGCCCAAGCTCCCCAAGACCGTCCACCTGTACACACGATCATGCCACGAGTGCCAGCGACGCAAGAAACCTCCGACGAGGCCGGCCGGACTCCTGCAGCCTATTTCTCCTCCAACTGCACCCTTCCAGCAGATCGGAATGGATCTGCTTGGTCCTTTTCCGCCTTCGACGTCGGGGAACCGCTGGATCATCGTCGCCACAGATTATCTCACACGGTACGCCGAAACGAAAGCTCTTCCTTCGGGGACTGCTGTGGAAGTTGCCAAGTTTTTCATTGAGTCCATCGTCCTCCGGCACGGCGCTCCAGAAGTTCTGATTACAGATCGCGGATCATCGTTCATGGCACAACTGACCCAAGAAATCCTCCGACTCAGTCATACCAGTCATCGTCGTACAACTGCGTACCACCCGCAGACCAACGGGCTGACGGAGCGACTCAACAAGACAATCGCCGATATGATCTCTATGTACGTCGACGTAGAGCACAAGACGTGGGACGAGGTGCTGCCCTACGTCACGTTCGCCTACAATACGGCGGTTCAAGAGACCACTGGATTCACCCCTTTCCAGCTGGTACATGGTCGGAAGGTAACGACCATGCTGGACGCCATGCTGCCCCATGAGCCATCTGACAACGAGAGCGACGACGCCCAGGCGGTTGCTCAACGCGCCGAAGAAGTCCGCCAGCTCGCCCGACTCATGATTCAAGACCAGCAACGCGTCGACGCGGGCCGCTACAACCTTCGTCGTAGGGACGTTCACTTCCAGCCCGGAGACAGGGTGTGGGTGTGGACGCCCATCCGTCGCCGCGGTCTCAGCGAGAAGCTTCTGAAACGCTATTTCGGGCCCTACAAGATCATCCGACGGCTCGGCGATCTGACCTACGAAGTCCTTCCCGACGGAACGCGCCCATCTGCAAGACGTCAGCCGCGACCCGAGGTGGTGCACGTCGTCCGGCTGAAGCCGTATTTCGAACGATAGAACTTTCTACTCTTGTCGACGAGTGAACTGAGAACTCTGTGAACTGTGGCTCGCGATTTTGCTGCCGTTTTGTTATGGATTTGTGTTTTTTTTTGTTTGTTTTGTTTTTCGTTTTGTGATGCATCGGGACGATGCGCTTTTAAAGGGGGGGATAATGCCGCGCGCAGGGTCACGGACTTCTAGAACTTTCTCGTTTATTCTTGCTCCGGACATAACTTCTGTCGTTTATCCCTGCTTATGTTGTTCTAGAAAGTGCGTGTTCATTCTCGCCGCGAGCGCGCTACGCTCGAACCTTCTCCGCCGAATCTTCGAGATAGTGACTCACTCTAGATAAGACGCCGCTCGCGACCTTGTCGAGTCAGTCTCGCCTCTGCGCTCGATCCTGCGGTTTCGCCGATATCGACGCCCGCGACGCTCTGCTGTTTTTCTTTTGTACCCTTTTATTTTTGGCACAAGTTCGCCACATTAAACGTTTATTTCTTCTTGTTCATTTTCTGTTTTCTTTTGGTCACCACCCGTGACAATATGAATTCGAATCGAATAGAAAGTTCCCGAATAATTCGATTCGCGAATCGAATTCCTAGTATTGAGTTACTCGAATATTCAATATATTCGGCCAAAGACGTGCGGTGGGCGCGGAGCAAACAAAAAAGCAGTTTTTTCTTCCGATGTAAGCGCCGTGATGTTAGAAAGACCATGCGAGAAACACCTCTTGGTCCTACCATTCCACAAAAATCTAACGCACAGGTTAGAAAACAGAAAAGTAATGAATGCCACAAACTTTATAGCACGAAGATTTACTCACGATCATGACACAATCTGCCCTTGAATCACAACTGAAACATCCCGCTTGCGCCGCTTCCAGAGAGGAATTGTTGGGAAGCCGGAATTCCGCGCCGAGCTTAATTCTTTTCACGAGTAAAACTCCTCGTTTCAAATTGAAGCGCCGATGTAAAACACACTCGCCGCACTCGCAGAAATCGGCTACTGCACCACTGCACGATCACAGAAAGAAAACCAACGTTACCACGCCGGCGAAACCAAGTGTGTTTTACATCGGCGCTTCAATTTGAAACGAGGGGCTTTACTCGTGAAAAGAATTAGGCTTGGCACGGAAACCAACGGAACGGAAAAATAGTGTGCCTAGGTTTGAGAGGGTTTCCAACAGCTCGATAGCCGCGTTTGAATTACGAACTGCGAGAAGGTGCTGGAAAGGCGAAAGCGTCGGTCGGGTTCGGGCAGGCAGGGCAGGCGTCGTCGCTCTTCTGTTTGTTCGCCTTCTTTCCACGCGACAACACAACACATGCGCATTCACGATCAATCTGCGATGGAGCCGTCCCTGTGGTTTCAGTTTCGGTTGCTCCCTCTTTTAAATCAAGGCTCTCTAAAACAGGATAGATAAATGGAAAAATGGATGCGTAGCGGCAGTTGGACGGTGACTTGCGCCACCTAACCACATTTTTTTTTCTTACTTTAGATTATATTGTTTAAGCCAGTTTACCTCGTTGCTGTTTACTCAGATTTAACACCTGTCTATTTATTTATGTGAAATCAAATCCCAGGTGCCATTTTTTTTCCTTAAAATGGAGACCAACTATCGCAAAATGCCCCTTTTCTGAGATATACAAATATTTTTTTAAAAAAGTTGCGGTGTTAGGTTGTGTTTTTAAAGAGAAAAAAAGGCATGCGTGGCTGTAACTTTGGTTTTTTTGTGACGTTTAGGGGAGATAGATTATGTTTGCACCATAAAATTGGATCTTTAGTGCCCAACGTTCAACAGCAACTGCTTTTTTTTTTTTTTTTTTTTTTCACCGGAACGTTTTTACATTTTGGCTTTTGTTTTGTACAAAACGCATATTCTGCACCAGGCGCATACTCTGCACATATAATAATCGCATTCGCAGCACACTTTGAAAAATTCCTACGAATAAAATCACGTTTCGATATTCAATTCGATATTCGGTTTTTTTTTTCTTGATTCGATTCGGTATTCGATTCGAAAGCTACTATTGGGTATTCGCACACCCCTAGTGTTTTCACCTACGTTCGCCGGGTGGCGGTGGTTATGCCAGAATGTGACCCTTTGTGTGAGTGTCCCACAGCCAAGGTCAAGGGAGATAAGAGAAGGTTTACCCAAGTGTCATTGTCCTCTTGTCATGGTTTTTTTTTTTTTTTTTTTTTTTTTGTAGAGATGGCGTTGGAGATAGGGTATATAAAGCGTGTTCGAAATAAACTTTGCAGCTGAGTTTGAGACGTTGCCTCCTCTTTTACTACCTTCTGTTGTGTTCTCTTTCTGCCCCAGTCTCAGGTTTACAATCATGTTCAACTTACACCAGCTCGCCTGCACTCTGACTATTTTTTCAGTATGTAACTGTTCAGAGTACGAATAGCAAAGAACCATTTATTAGTAATTTTGGCACAATAACCACCCGAAAACACCAGAATTTCCAATATGAATCACAGTTGCCCTGTAAGCCTCCTGCGTTTGCTTACGACCATCTTACAACCGTCATAAGCCGTCGCAAGAGGCTTGGAACTAGAGTATGTAAATGTCTGTCAAACTGGATATTCGGTTAAAAATGTAGGGAAGCAAACCGGTTTTGAGAGCCAGTTATCCGGTTTCTTGCATTTTCAAATCTGAATACATAACTGGTTTGGCAAACGGGTTTCTTGGTTTTATCTTGCGCATAATATTTTTAAGGCTTTTATTTGATTTATTTTTTTTTTCAAACATTTTAGCAAAAAAACTTGAGACTGAGGTTTTGACAGACGACCACAAGGAAGAGAAGGAGAATGTCTCAAATACAGCTAAGCCTTCATTGAGGACAGAACCCCTTACTAGGGTTGAAAAAAGAAAGAAGGAAAGGGAACCCTTCTTCACACCATCTTTCTCAACAGAAGACACGACTCTAACAGTGGGGTCAAACCAACAAAGCACTGACAGCACCAAAGATGACACATCATTCGCGCACAAAAAAGTATTACAAAAAAAAAAAAAAGTTTGATATACACCAGCTCATTTGCACCCTTACATTCTGCTTATTTTTTTTCATAGTCGTAGAACTACGAAGAATCTGTCATGTTCCTCTGGTAATTAGAAAGTAAGAAATTTACCGAGTTCTGCGCATGTGGGTGAAGAGAGCAAAATATAGGGTGCACTTTGTCCCGCTAGTTTTCTACGGAGCTCGGTATTTGCCGGACACCAGGCCTCTGGACTGGAATAGTTTCGTCATCTGCTTCGATGGAGCCCGGGGCATAGATTTGGCGCGAGTCCGGCGTCGGTGTTCGGCAACGACTCGCATTCTGTAGTTCGGACTTATATTTTGTATTTCGACAAAAAAGAAGCTTTTAGCGGCTCTGACCAGTAGGAAGCCCAGGACCTAAGACGTCGCATACCCCATGCTTCCGGCACTGCGGGTCGCCCCCGTAGGAGGAGGAGGTTTCCGCTTCGTCCGGTTAAAATATTACGCACTGATATTGAGTTACTCTCTCCGTGCCCGCTGGCTTGCCCGAACCCCAAGAGGAAACCGCAAAATAGATAGACGCTTAAATATGATTGCTGGGCCCTTTTAAGGTATGGGATTATCTATATGAATATTCAAATATTTATATAAACGAGTAAAGTAACTACAGAAATATCCGGTTTAACCGGTTTTGAAATTCAAATAATTTGTGAATTCGAATAACCGGTTATTTCGAAAACTGGTCTGTACTGCTGCCGCTATTTAAGACTGATATTTATCCTCTCCCGTTGGAAGCAGTCAAAAGTGTGTGAACCAGCCTTTAAGGAACATTGGTCAGAAGTTTGTTTAAGAGAGAATGCTGGTGAGCCAACTGTGTGTGTCTGTTGACGTGTGCCCCGTGGCAGGACTGGGGCAGGGCCGGAGACCTGGAGAACCTGGGCATCCGGTGGCACCTGCCCTCCCCCGAAGAACTGGCTTGCGCAAAGGACCTGCTCGACGAGTTTCTGCACCCCGAGCTCACGGCACTGTTGCGCTGGAGCGAGGGCCAGCGCTCTCTCACCAGGTGGGGCCTCATCACATGCTAGCTGCAAGCGGCCTAAAAGTCAAATTTGGGAGTTTTACGTGCCAAACCAACGACGGGCATCTGGCACGCCTCAGCAAAGGACTGAGGATTAATTTGGACCACCTGGGGATCTTTTGACGTGCAACCGAAAGCTCGGTTACACGGCACCTCCTCTGCAATAAGCCTCCGTCAGATTGCGGGCACCTCGGCCGGGATTCGAACCCGCCACATGGGGATCCATAGGCCAGCGCTCTCGCCTCGGAGCCACCGAGGCGGCTTGCAAGCGGCCTGGGTCAGAGGCATAGACTTTGGGGGGGGGGCATCGGGGCTCGTGCCCCCCCCAATGAGATCCGGGGGGGGAGGGCAGAGCCTCCCTGGGCCCAGGCCATGATCCTTACCGGGACGCGGTTTACGTGCTATATAACAAACTTCTACTAGTGGCATGTAAACAAAATAATGTCCACATTGCCTTTATTGACAAAATACAGAGGAATCCCAGCGTACTTTCGTTAGCTTCAATCTCCAGTTCCCGCGAAAAGGTAACGCGCAGCCCCTCCCCCGACCCTCGGGAAAATGGGAAGTCTACTTCGCTGGCCTTGGTGCACACTTGCGCGGATTCTGATTATCTGCAATTGGAAAATCGTGCCTCAGAAGGCACTGATCCGGTTGCGTCTGCATTGCTGTTCCTCCATCCCGTAGGGAGGAAGTTCAGCGGAGCTTGAACACGGTCCTGGACTGCGTCTTAGGTGCTGGCCTGGTGCTGCCCATGTGGCCGGGAGAGCCAATCAACCTGTGAGTATCATATGAGCCGGACCCAATCAACCTGCGAGTTCCTTTGCTGATCAGTGACGGCCAGAGCCAATCAATCTGAGAGTTCCTTAAATGATCAAAGGCTGTGATCCAGAGCCAGCAACCTTTGAGTTCCTTTGCTGATCAGTGACGGCCAGAGCCAATCAATCTGACAGTTCCTTAATTGATCAAAGACTATGAGCCGGAGCCAATCAATCTGAGAATTCCTTAATTCATCAAAGACTGTGAGCCAGAGCAAATCAACCTGCGAGTTTCTTTATTGGTCAAAAGTGATGAGCCAGAGGCAGTCTATCTGTGTGTTTCTTTATTGGTCAAAGTCTACAACCTAGTGCCAATCAACCTGGACGTTCCTTTACTGATGAAAAACTATGAGCCCATGTCTGACATTCTGACTGAAAGTTGCCTTTCCAGGCTTGTTATACGGAGACTCCTCTTTTTGTCTTATGGAGAGGATTACAGTGAGAACTGTTCATGAAGGGCAAAGGAGACCTAAGAGTCATTACAAAAGCTCAGTTACACTGTTTCCACATTGCAGCCAGTAGCTGCGGTGTCGAACCTAGGAGCTTGTGCCAACTTTTTAACTGTCGTAAAAGCCCTAATTCACCAGTATCCTATTCAATGTTTTAGCAAATGCTTTGCGCGGAAAAAGTGTCGAAGACACTTTTTCCAGACGAGTTTGTCTCATCTCTGACAACTAAAGGGTTAACAACTTGTATGTCATTTCAGCTGTGGTAAAACTCTACATTGTTGTCCAAACTGCTATGTCTGGGCTAATTTGGAAAACATCAGTAAGGAACTCTTAAGATTTTTAGTATTTGTGATTTCTGACTGTAGTCTTAGGAGTCACAAGAGCACATTCCTCCTATGAGAAAACAAATGCATTGAGGCTTTTACTGTCATTCACACAGTCTTCCTGCCATGGATCTGACTAACACCATCTTGTTAAGAAGCAAATAAAAAATGTTACCAACGAAAGTTAATTTTTTTTTTTTAGCATTTAGTTTATTTAGTTTTGTGAGTGTTGCACAAATTGAACAAATAGAAAGCAGAGTTGTTCTGTAACTGGGTTTCCTTGGTAGGCAGACATGCCAGTGCCAAATTAGTTTAGTGTGTTGCTAGATGGTCGTGCAGTTTGTTATTCAGCGTCAAGAATGTGGGCCAATGTTTTTGTTTTTACCCTTCTGTCACAGTGTAGGCACGACAGTGCCAATCCAGCTGAACTACAAGGTGGTGTTGGGGGCACCCTGTGAGTATATTGCCTTCTCTTTTACTCCGACCTGGGTTTGGGGATGCCCCCGGAGTACTCACTGACCACAGATTCTAGATGTTAGCCCTTTGTAACACGTGAATTGGATGTAGGTCCTGTCGGCATTCATTTTGGACTCACAGCCAATCAATCAGTTCCATCGCAGTTGACCCGCCGAGCTCCTCGATGTGGTGAATTTTATCGAGAGCTTTTCTCAGTGTTTGGTACAGAATGGCAGTTTTTTCGTCACCGTCGGAACCGAAATGAGGGGGAAAAGAACTGTACGGTGACAAACACATTGACGTACAAAAGTGATGGTGCCCAACTAAGTACAACATTTTTACTGCCATTAGCACGAAAAGGTTCGACTGGTATTTGAGCCGCTAGGTGGTACTGAATTTGGAAAAGGCTAGGATGGGGCGGGGCCCTAACTTCCAGTTTCTGTGCAGCCATTTTCCTGGGCGCTGGCGAGAACGTGAGGCTCACCATCGCCAAGGTTCTCCGGAAGGTGCTCGGTAAGTTTGTTTGCTACAATCACGCCTTGGGAGAATACGCTCACGTAAGAAAAATTCCCAGGGTCTCTCATGTTACCCCTAAAACAAATTATGTTAGCAGTTGCCACAGCCTTAACCATAACCAGTGGGAGGGTGAGATCAGTCAATTATGATTTCCTGTATTGAGCTCTAGGGGAAGGGCCCAATGTATATCTTGTCCACCTCTGGGACTTCTCCTAAACGTTTAACGAAGGAGTTTGCGAGAAAAACATGCCTTATTAAAAATCCTAATGTTTTGTTAGCTTTGGAGCAGATGTAGTTGATGCGACTCTTCCACGATAAATCTTCAGAGAGGTGTCCCCCTAAATATTTAGATGTATTCACCCGTTCAATGTCACCAGAAGAAACAGTATATGAAAATCATGAGCCATTCCACTTTGTGAGGGCGGAGGAAAGGAAGCGAGGCACGCCAGCGTTTGGAACGACGACAAACAGAGGGCGGTGCAAGCGCAGACACGGCCGACGCAGGTCACACAGCGGCCAATTCTTGAGAAACCTTTATTAAGGCGAAAGCCTTATATGTCTGATTGTTCAGTTCTTGAGTGAAAACACGTCGGCGACACGAAGGGTACCAAAACGTTTACGTGACATCTGCGAATTTTAATATTCCGCCGAAAAGACTCTTCGCTCTTGTCCGCCACAGGCGGAGGGGTACTGCCAGATCTGTAAATCACGTGTCTGTCTTTAATGCATCGGCGCTTGGGCTTTCGCTTTAAGCGGGGACATGGCCTCGGAATTAAAAATTTTCAGAGAAAAACGTTTTTTTTAAAAATGATATGTTTATGCTTATTAACTTCCAAAGAATGGTTTCAGAAACTTTAATTTATAAACAGGCAGGATTAATCTCAGAATAAATTATTTTTGACATGTCGGCAGCCCTCCGAGTCAGGAGGGAGCAAGCTTTTTGCATTTTTTATTTAGCACTGCTTCATACTCGTTTAACCTAGCCACAACATCTCACCCTCATTGGAAGTGCCATTTACTCTAGATTTAGCCTGCAGAAGCTTTCCAAGTTTACAAGTATCAATGGCTAGGAGGACCCAATACATCCAAACAGAAAAAATTCTGAAAATTTGGTATGAGCAATCTTATTGGTTGACACCCGAAACAGGGTTTACGAGTGGCCCTGCCCGGTGGCATGATATTATGTCATCTTCAGTAACACCCTTTCACAGTATCTTCCACTTCAGGCCCTATTCCTGCCTTACTGCTCTTCCTTAGTATGATTTGCCTCTTAGTTCTTGCCAGTTTATTTGTCAACGAATGCCTGCTGCAAACGTTAGCTAGCCTACAAATGACACAAACTGGTAACTATTGCCAGGGGAACAGGGAAGTCTCAAAGAGGAAGGTGCTAACAATGCGCCAGGTGAATTTTGCCTACCTCGGACTCACAGAAAAGAAAGAACCTAAAGTTGAAACTTCAAATGCATTTTCCTCAGTTTCACTTTTTGGCAGGAAATGTGGTACGAGGAAATGTATCATTGGACATTTTGAAAGTGCAAAGATTTCATTCAGTGGTGTCCTTGACTGAAATTTCCTGAGGAACAAGTTAAGGTACTCATAATCTGAAAAAGCTAAATTCTTCATGACAAAAACTGAATATTTTAAAACTCAGAAATTTGTTAAAATCGTTTGCTTTTTTTGGATGTTATTGTTTTTCTCTAGAATTGCATTTTCTACAATTAATTTTTACCTTAACTTGCACTGTGGGTATTTTACTTCACATTATACAAAACATTTTGTGGATTGCAATTTTTATTTTTCTTAAGTACATTTCCTAATAAAGTAACTTTTTTCTGAAGCTTGTTAAGCATAGTATGTTGTAGAATTGGCCTATAAGACTAAAACTTTAGATGTCACCAATTCTAGTGAGGTTCAATTCACCCTGAAAGTTTGAATCACTTTGAGACAATGGTTCAAAAGTTGACCCTCCCAGGCCATGTCCCCCCTTAAGGTCGTCTTAGGGGGAAGATAAGAGACCCTGTGAATTTTTTTTATCTACCTGAGAGTCTACTGATCTTGAAAATGGTGCCTATTGATTGCTAATCTACTGGATAGACCTATCGCTAAATTACCCAAGCATCAAGGAGAATACAGGGAGTGGTGCTCCACACGTCGGACGTGCCAGCGTCTGCAGCACTAACTATCTTATTCCAGAGCAAAAGCCTAAAACAAATGGCATCTTGCGCGCACGTTCGTCAACGCTTTATAGTATTGGTTATTTACCGTATTTACTCGCGTAAAGAGGACACTTTTTTTCACGAAAAATTTACCTATATTTGGGGGGTGCGTTCATTGTGCAGGGTGAAATGTTTGCATTTACACAGTTTGCGCAAATGTCATTTTAGGTGCCAATATGACATGGCAAGGCACTGCCGCACGTCTCCACTGACGGAGGCACACCCACCACACCTGCGCCGAAGTGACCATGCTCTCTAAATTGCAAACCTATTTTAGGCTGCTTTCGGCGTGCCTTTTACCGAAGGAAAAGCGCCCTACGGAGCTCACTCGACACGAAGAGTGACGCGACCATTCTTAGGCCTAACCGCTTTCACAATTTTGCTGTCCGGAAGTGGACCACAGAAGACGGCGTGTTTGTTGACATCAATGTATCTGATGGGTGAATCGTGTCCGGGACTGGGTCATTCCTCGACCCCAGCCTCATTATGTATGCATGCCACTCAGTTTCATTGATCACCTCCGCAACTACACACTTGCAGCCATTACGAGAGCGGCTTGACTTGGCTTGACTCGGCCTGGCCGCTTGGCGGCAAAAGAAAATTGGCTCTGTGGCTAGCTGCGTTGGACGGAGTTCAAGACTCACGAAGCTGAAAATAAACATGCTTTCATTACGCAAAAAAAAAAAAAAGATTTTGAAGTAAAGATGCTTGTTGTGGAGGTGCATTCATTATGCCAGTGCATTCATTATGCTAGTAAATACGGTACTTTGAATCTTTTTTGAACGGGGAAGGCGTTGACTTTTATACAAAGATGCTCGGCTTTGACGCTTGTTCATTCTTTTTTTTCTGGCACAAGTTCACCGATTAAACCCTTATTTCAATTCATTATTCATTGTCTCTTCGCCTTCGTCCGTGACAGTATGGCGACCGAGGTCCGCGCGAAATGTTGCGGTTGGACGCGAAAAGACTTAACGCAATCGGTCATACCCCAATGAAAACGAAACGGCCTTGAAATGTGGTTTGTGACAGCCACGGAGATGTCTGACTTTGCGCTCTAATTTGCTCGCAGAGCACACGATGCAGACGCACGAGGACGACATCAAGTCTCTGTGCCTGATTGTGAAGGTGGGTGTTCCTTCTTTGCCTTCCGAGGAGACGTTCCGAGCGTGTTTTCATTTTTGTCCTGGTTGCAGATTTACCACGAGCTGGTGTTCTACTGGGGCATTCCCAAGGACGACTTTGACACCCGTTGGAAGGGATTCCACGTCATCAAGAAGGGGCTGGAGAACCGGGTGAGGGACCATCGTAGCACGCACGCTCTTATGCTCGGGTAGAATGAAGCCTTAATTTGGCATTCTTCTTACGAAAGTTTACTGAAATACATGCATTGAAATGCTACTATCAATTCCTATTATATTGGCCATCTCTGGTCCTGCTGCAAGTGGTTGGAAAGCAAACGTGGGATATTAGCAAACGGCGGGAGCGATCAAAATACAGGTGCAGGGAACAGCTTTGTTTTTCACTCTTTCACCTCGGTGCTCCCAAATGAGCGCGTAATCACGAGGGGTAAAGTATGGTGCTCGACACTAACCAGCTGGAGTAAGATACGGGAAAAAGCTTGTGCCGTGTCGGCTCTGCATCTTGCAATTTGCATGCATGCTAAACACAGGGAGAGGTAAGTCAAAGTCAGCGTCCTCTATCTATGTCGAGGGTTGCCAAACTTTTCTATCTCAAGGACCGCCCATGTCTCTTGATTGACAGCCGAGGAACCCCTACCAATCTCTGCATTGATGCGAAACCATACTCTACAAGCCCACATTTTGTGAATTGTATTGTATTTACTCGATTAGTAGACACTCTTTTTATGAACAAGGCCTTTGCGTCTACTTTCCTGCAGAACATATATACACCGGTCATCTTATTGCGCTCTAATAACATAGCGAAAAACTAGGTCGAGAATGCAGTTATTAGCAAAAATGCAATCTTCGCAGATAGTATGTTTGCATAAAGACGTTATACAGTGCAACCCGCTTATAAGGATAATGAGGAGACCCAAAATTTCAATCTTTATAACCGATTATCGTTATATCTGGACTAGAGACTGGTCATTTTCAGTCTAGAAACTTTAAAAAATGATTGTTATACTGTCGAGACCGGTTATAACGAAGTCAACAGAAATTGGAAATTACTCTGTTGTACAGTCAAACCTCGTTATAACGAACTAGCATCGGGAGCAGAAATTTGTTCGCTATGTGCATTATTCGTTATAAAAGTACACACAAAAATTGACGCGAACGTTCCCGCAATCGAGCCCTTGCAAGAACGTGCACAGCACTAAAATATAAAAACGTGCTATCGCGGACCACGAGATTCTTACCTGTCACTAAGCAGCATTAAAAAATTAGATCGGAGCATGAGGATATCAATTTGCAACACGAGAAACTATGTTACCTGGATCTCTTATTCCATTTATTTGAAGACGTGATTTTGGGCTGGTGCCTCTTTGCCTGGAGCCACCGCGCTGGAGCCAACCGCTGCTCGCGCTGAAATCATCATGGCCTAACAGACACGCCAGACTGATTGCTTTCGCTTGAAGAAGCTGACCAGACACCTGCACATTTCGTGCCATTTGTTCGCAAACGGCCCGGACGTAGAAGAGCCTCTTCCCCGTCGAGGCAAGGCCTAACACTTTCGGTCAGTCTTGACGGTGTTGTTTGCATGGCAGACTTCGATCTTCTTCCTTGCACTCAGGGTGGTAGATGTCGTGCTTAATGCAAGCTCGAAGTTGGCAGTGATGTCTTTTTTCTTCCGACCGTTGTCTACCGCCCTCAAAACCTACACTTTTGTCTCCAGAGAGACAGCTTTTCGTATCGTCGCCATTTGCAGCTTCGTTAAAAGTGGCGTGGTTGGCAGTTGGCTTTAGTCTCCACTGGTTCTTGATGCCTCGCAGAGAGGCCAGAACGGCGCAACCGCCGTTATTTGCTCGATTCATAGGTGGCGCCACCTCCCAAAACGCGCATTTTGGCACTTCAGGCATTCTAAACTTTCAGAATTCTTTGTTTAGAAATTCCTTTTTGCATTTTTTCTACTTTTTAATAACCTTCATAGTATTTTGTGACGCAAGAAAAGCAGGAATTGCTTCGGTATACCCGATAGTGCATCGGATTTCACTGTTTCGGTTTTGTTATATAACTAGAACTCTCATACAAATAAAGCATGACCAACCAAACTTTGTGATTAGTTCGCTATATCCGATAATTTGCTATATCAGCATTTGTTATAAAGAGGTTCAACTATATCCGCTATTTCGTTATAACCAACTTTGGTTAACGAAGTGCAGAAGGGAATGGGAAATCCTGATTGCTTTGCTGTAGCTGCTATTTCGTTATAACAGACTTCGTTATAACCAGTCTCGACAGTATGTGGTATCAATGTAAGTGGGTTGTACTGTATCCGTCCCGTAAATTGCTGGCATCATGCTGTTGATTGCGGTGATTGGCAGTCAGAGCGGACTTACAGGTTTTCTTTAAAGCCAGTGCGTCTATTACTATAGTAAATATGGTAGACTGCAAACCATATTTAAGATCAAACCAGCGTAAGCGGGCGCGTCTTTTCATCTGAAGACGTTTCAGACCCACAGCCTTATGCCGAGTCATGTTTGCACTTTCCAGCTGTCGAGGCACAAGCAGCACATTCGAGCCCTCCTGGTGGACCGGACGCAGCTCCAGCATGAGGTGGGATTAAGCTGTCTTGAGCATTTCACGGTTGGTTTCTCACTGGCGTTTCTTCCACGTGCTCCGACAGATGCGGGTGCTGTGCCGCCACCTGACGTGGTTCACGGAGGTGCACCAAGACATCATGAAGGACCTCTTTGATCTCTCCACAAGCCACTACAGCGAGGCAGGTGGCGGGGGCGTTTTGTTGCCCTTTACTTCACAAGGTCAATGGGGGGAGGGGTCGGGTAGAGGACAGAGAAACCCGCTCTCTTCGCTGGGGATCTTGGAAAGCCATTAAAAAAGTGTGGCCACTTAGTGGCTTTCAGCTCAGAAATGGTAAGGATGCTTTTAGCACAATTAAAGTAGGTTTTGTGCTGTAACTTAAAATTAGGCCCTTAGAATTTAAGGGATCGGCTACGCCATATGCTGTTTCCCTCACTGGGAAAGGCCCGTTTTTGGAGGCAGTTTATGTGGTGATGCTAATGCACTTTGGCCAGAGGCATTTTATTTTAAGAGACATATTACAGTCGCACTCGTTTATAACGAACCCAGACAGAGCGAATTACTGTCTACCTTAAAATCGCGTAAGGCAGCTACACAAAATGAAGAGAGGAATGTTGAAAAACATGAGGTGGGCTACCTTTGAGGACGAGACGGCAAAACTTGATGTTTAGCTCGGGGGGCACTTGGCTACAAGCCACGTGACACGTGAACCGATACCACATATTGTGGACATGGCAAATTCGCGTTTCACGATATAAACGCGCAGGAATTCACTACGAACTCCCATGTCACGGGAAAGGATATTGCACACTGCAGATGCAGCAGATTCGTGTTTCATGGTGTGATAAACACGCCGAAACCGGCTACAAACTTGCATGCCACGGGAGCCGATATCGTGCAATGAAGGGGGGGGGGGGGGTCAATGTTTCAAAGTTTTTATATTGTTGCAGTGATTATGGCATACTATATTTTACAATGAACGAGAGGCTGAAAGATGGCAGTCCTGCGAAATCCCAGAAACGCTGCTGCTTTCCCTCCTTTCCCCAACAGCCGAGCTCAAACTTCTTTCTCCTCTTCGTATCAATATTACAGATATTTAGCCAAAAAACGGGGTGGGCAATAAAAAATATCTGTGAACTCAACCCAAAGTGCTTCCCGCCAAGCAATCGTGGTCCGACAGCGTCTGGTTTTCCCTTTTCACGGCATATATCCACATTCTCGGATGAACCGAGCACATGAAAACTGACCTTCAAACCTTTCTTGACTCTTTTGATACAGCCCCAGTTGCGGCGTTTTGACGAGAAGGCAGGTTTTTGTCTGGTTTATTTCAAAACAACGCAAGCATGCACATCTCGCATGGTGACTTCCGCCCACAGCCCCAGACCGAAACTGCGCTCGACGCACCACCACCGCACCGTGACATAACAGAGTTGAGTTTGCGTTTAATAAACAGCCTAAAGGCAATATCGAAATCTGAAATAAAAATATGGCCCTTAAAAATGCAAAAATAACTGTCCCATTTAAAAAAGAAAGAAAAGTGTTACTAAGCACAAGCTGGAAACCAAAAATTTGGTGCATGTTTGGTCAATCTGCCAAATGCATTTAAATGCAGTATCGCTTTAGGGTGGGTTGTGCTTTTAGTTTGGGTGGTGCCTAAGGCAGGGTTTTCTATGGGAACAGATTACCTCACACCATTGTCTTTTTGTGACGCTGCGTGCGTTTTCTTTCAGCATCACCCAGATACAAAGCCTTTACACTGAATTTTCTGGGTCACCGAGAGAAAGGAAGCGTGCTTTCCTGTACTTTCCACTCCTCGCTTTACAGGCTCTTCCTACACCACCTGTTTCTGCTCCTCTTTCTTGCCCTTTCCACCCCTCTCCATTTTGCATGCTTTTTGACACCACCTGCTTTTGCTCCTCCCGTTCCTATGTGCTGGGTCCATAGCTCGGTCAGCAGTGCACTTGGCTTCCACACCGGTGTCCGGAGTTGCATGGCTAGCACCGGTTGCCGTTTTTTTAAAGGTTGTTTTACGGTTATGGATAGGCCGACCTACATATTTTACGCTTAGGCAGCTCATGAGTGTAATGGCCGTATAAAGCTTCCGGTTTAAAAGAGTGACCCAGCACTTCAAAAGCAAGGTCAAGGCGTGTCATCGAGAGCATTTCTTGAAGGCATCCTTATGCGCGCTTCCGTTCCGTACTTGGACGCTCACAGGTCGTGATAGAATTTGTTTGTCTCATCCTATGATAGGATAGCTGTACGGTTTTGCTGGTTTCGTTTTGATTGTGGCGTAGAGGAAGGAAAATAGCCTTCAAAAACATGCCTGCTGTTCTGCCAGCCATAGATGTAAAGCACCGGTGCCTGTGCGCCTGTTATTGGCGTGCCTCTCGCAGAGCTTCTCGAGGAAAAGGTAAGCGGTTTCTATCTTAGTTTGGGCAAGTCTAGGTGCCCCAACCTCGTGGGCGTCTTAGCGGATGAAACAGTTGAATTAGAATTTCTTCTCGTTTATTCTATTCCTCCCTAGCACATTATCAGTTACATTTTCTTGAATTGAATGTTATTTTTGCTGTACATTGGAGAATCTATCCGCGAGCGTCTTCTGCACATTTAATGACAAAACGTTGTATTTCAAACTTCTGGCTTTCAAATATGATATTATATGCCAGTTTCGATATAACAAACTAGCCGATGTATTCAACTAATGATCACGTTGGAGAGTTGGTTGTAAACGGGTTCGTAGAGCAAAGCCTCATCTATTGCTTCACCTCGAGCAACGTGCACCTGGCATATGCAAATCCGGAAGAGCCGCCTAAAATGGCCCCGTCAAATGGGTCTTTCGTATTGGTGGAGACCGCACAGAGTTCTAACTCAACCCAGTCGTACCATGTTTTACCGGTTATTCCGGGTACATTGCGTGGCGTTAAGGAGTTACCGTGGATTACAGTACAACCTGATTCAGAGAGAGAGTGGCATCGTCGACTCCAGTGGCAGGTTCCCAGTACTGTAAAGCCATTGGTCACTCACCGTCGTGTGACACGCAGCACTCTGGACAAGGCAACAAGAGCAACCTATACCCTGCTACAGGCTAAAGCTAGCACGACATGGCACCTTTGGAAACTTCAGAGGCATCGGCAGTGCGGGTCTTGGGTAGAATGAGGTAGTGAAATTAGAGCCCCTCGATAAAATCTGCATTTCACGTTTCTTACTCATGCTGACAACTATTCTTGTACAAGCATACGTGCCACAAACGAGTGCTGTGCCGCCATTTTCTTCAACCACGAGGCATGAGCCTTGCGGCATCTCGGCACACTACGATGCCAAGACGGACGCGTCTGACAGTGTCCGGGAGACTCTGCCGCTTGGGGCGGGTCGGGGATACACTACCAATGACCTCGTGTCTTCTAGATGGTACTGGCCAAACTCCCACAGAAGGCGGTGTCTAGAGAAATGGTTTGCACCCCCCGCAGGTGCGCACTCAAGCTCAAGAGGCCCTGGGCAAGTGTGTGCACAGCTTCCAGGGATCGCACCGGCTGCTGATGAAGGGAGTTGTGCACATGCTGACGGCCAAGGAGGGAGTCATCCACGAACAGCTCAAGGTTCGGGCCGCCTCCTCCTTGGCTCTCGAGTCGCTCGACTTGGGAGTTTCCTAGCCGCGTAGATTGTTTCTCGGTTGCTGGGCCCTCATGCGTCTGGTATTTCAAAAAGAATTACCGGTAAACTTTATCTCCAGAGTCCCTTAAAGGGACATTGACATCCCCCAAAATTAATTTTTATTTTTTGCCAGGCAATTTATTATAGCTTCAGAAAACAATCCAGTCAGTATTTTGCTACAGTGTCGCGTATGTTTTTAATAAAGAAAAAAAAATGCAATTGCTCAAAACCGAAACCGGAGAAAGATACCGGAAGTCACGTGGCTCTATACCTTTTTTTTTTTCCAACGAACGTATTTGCACCTTTTTAGGAGCCACAAAAAAAATAGGTATCGTATTTGTTTTCTATTTTTAATATTGTGCGTGTGCCTTCAATGACCCACAACTTTGATTACATTTGGTGGTTGTGTCTAAACCATAAAAAGCAACTCGTGACGTCGGAGAAGAGAGTGAACGCCACTCAAACTGGCCAGTTCTCGATCGACGGTTTTCAGGCGGAAAGAAAATTAATTTCGAGCCGCAAATTGTGTTCTGGGTTTTTATGTCACGTATGTATGTCACGTATGTTATGTCACGTACAAATATGAACTTTGGCGAGCAAAAATACTCTGTGTCCCATTAATGCATGGAATTCACTTTTTAAGGAGCGATCGTTTAAATTTATTGAGAAGACATTAAATGGTCGTTTCACGGAATGAAAAAGAACAGATTGTTTCCTAATTTGGCAGAAAAATTTAGTTTTGTGTCGAGACAGGCTGCTTCATTTTGCCTTTAAATTTAGTGGGGAAATGGATGTCATCAGATCAAGTCATGGTATGACGTGATGCTGTGATGTCGTGCAAGCATCTGGTGGCATTGCATTTTTTTCACACTAAATTTGGCGAGGAAATGCAGGAACGGACAAACTGACGGGTAAAATTCTGGGATTGGGCAGTTTTAATTAAAAGTCTTCCATGTTTCAAAGCCCTTGGCATGCAGCAGTGCCTTGTTGTTGGTCTCCTGTGCACCAACATTCTTGGATCTGTCAGTTGAGAAGCTCCACGGAAGAGTATTGCTCGAAAAGGGTCCTTTTCCGTTGCCCGCTTGCGAGCAGATACGAGAGGAGGGCGATTTTAGTGGCACTGGCAGCACCGCTCCCACGGGCAGCGAAGAAGAACTTTTTTCGAATCTTTTTTCTAGGCATGGGCAAATAGAGAATTTTGAGTCGAATTAGAAGCAAATAGGGAATTTGGCTAAATAATTCTGAATAGTACAAGCAACAAATTCCACAAGGTATGTTTAAACTATAGTTTTATATTTGCCCTTATTCGGTATTAGAAGTACTCTAATTGTTAATTTCAAGTGTACTGAGTTCGGAAGCACAAAATATTCGGAAACTTGCGCCACTTGGCGAGAAATCCAAACCAGAGTATTTGGAAAGGTTGAATAATCCTATATTGTCGAGTATTCCGATATTGTCAAATACTTAATTTCGATTTGAAGCGAATGTCGAATAGAACAGGAATTTCGATGGACTATTCATACGGGATAACTGAATATTCGCCCATCCCTACTTTTTTTGCAAACTTTATGTTCGCCGTAAAAAGCACCATGGACCCTTTTCATGTTTGCAAACACAACCCGTCTCCTGCATCCCAAGCAACTTCCTGTCGCTCAGTGTTGGCCGGCCTACCGAACCTGTTTATGTCACAATTTCTAGGGTGACGAATGGGTACAAAACTGATCATGTTGGAGATACGGCAAAGTCCGTATGCCGTGTCATTCAACACGTAAGAGACGATAGGACATATTACGGGAATAACAAAAAATTTCCCGCAAATCTTTTACTAATTGATGCCGTAGCTTAGCACCTCGAAAATTGGCAATTTAATATTTTGTGGACGTTGCAAGACGCGTTGCTACAGTAGGGTATGTTTGTCCCATCAGTCGACCGGAAGCTTGCGAGGATGTAGAATGTGATGGCATCTCCTTCTGGTACCTTACAGAAAAGAGGGTGTATAGATTCACTTTCCACCGCTGGCATCATGCATTCAACATTCCATTGGTTTCGTCGCTTCTGTCGGTACGGGCTGGGCCAATGGCGTGGCGAGTGCCCGAAAGGGTGCCGACCTTGACCCGGTGACCTTTTTTTAGGGTGCCCTGTTTGTGGTGCTGGGCAAGAAGCAGCGTCACTTCCTGACGGTGGGGGACTGGGAGGCCCTGGGCCAGCTGTGGCCGGCCCTGGTGGGCGCCCGCCACTCGGAGAAGCCCTCCATCATCTGGCTGCTGGAGCACATCCTGGAGAGCCTGCAGAGGTACCTCGAGACCACCCAAGTCACCCTGAAGGTCAGTTCCTGGTGGCATCTAGGCACTACAGTCAACAACCGATTCTTTGGACGTTTTCGCTGAACCGTTACTCACCCCGTAGAGTTAAGGTATAGCATTGACCGAAATTTCGGACGCCATGAAGCTTTTTGTTTGATATTTCGGACATAATGGCTTGTTGCAGTGATAGCACGGCGAGCTTAGTTGTTGCCATTTGAGTTGTTTTGATTTTGCCCTGCAGGCCTCGAGATCACGTCCTATGCAATAAACAAGCTGGGTTGAGGCTATGGTTGGGATTTTCGGTCCCACTGTAGCCAACATGGCCGCTGTCTGGCCATTCTTATTCAGCACTTCTCATGGTCTTGGTTTTACCATTGCGATCGTGAGAAGAGCAGCTGTCTGCCGTTTTTCGTGGTCTTTGAGCGCAAAGGATTTTTACCGATAGGCTTAGTATTGAAGCGAGCTTGGTGGACTAAACGTCTACAAATAGTACCAAATGGCACCCATTTCAACTTTCCTGTTTGTGCCAACGAAGGCGCCGACAAAGCGCAGCACCATGATCAACCTGATCAACAAACAAGTGAAAAGTGAGCAATATAAAGCGGAAGTTGCGTGAGAACTTAAACTTGACATCCAGCGAGTGGAAAGTGGCCAATACACAGTGGCATATGCAAGTAAATTTGATATTTGGGCTGAAATTGATTTTTCGGACTGCTTGATTATTTGGACAATTCCAGGGTCCCCTCCAAGTCTGAAAAATCGGTCGGCGACTGTATTGTGTTGTTTGGACCATAGTCAATTAAAACAAATTTTGGCTGATCAAAAAAAAATTTCCCTTATATAGTTTGTGCTAGAGTCACTAAACGCTTAGAGTATGGCACTTCGTTCCGCAATTTTCTTGTGGGCGTCCCCATTTTGGTGCTTAAAGCAGGGCGGGCACAACCGGTGATGGTAAGCAACCTGAAAATGCATCTTCCTGAGCTTTAGGCATGGTGTCGGAGAACTCCGGCAACACTGGTTTGTCGCTTACTGGTTTAAAGGGACACTGACACCCCCCAAAAAATGTTTTTTTATTTTTTGCCAGGTGCTTCATTATGGTGTCGGAGGACTACCCAATTAATATTTTGCAACAGAGTAGCGTATTTCTTTAATAAAGCCAAAAGACGCAACTGCTCGAAACCGAAGCCGAAACCCGACGGAGGTCGGAGAAGTGGAGAGAAGAGAGTGGCTGGCGGAAGTCACGTGGCTACACCCGACCGTGCGGGTTTTTTTTTTTTTTTTTTTTCTCCTCTCCGGTAGCAGACGACGCGACACGCGGCGTGCGGGAACTGCTTGCCGTGCGATTAATTCTTTTGCAGTTATGTTTGTTCCGCTCGTTGTTCTGTACTCCAAGATGAGTTGTTTTGTACATTGAGGAGTTGGAGATGAGTAGTGAGTGCCCGTGGTGAATTTCCATGATCGGGTCCGAAAAGAATAAACCCAAGATGTTGCGTGAAGAGCTGGCTCACATGTCCTGCATCCGAAAAAAAAGTGGCATTGTGCGACAGAGTTTCCGAAAGATCAACGGGATCGGGACCAATGGCTGGCTGCAATTCCTGTAGAACATTTACGGGCACCTCGGAAAGCGGACGCTACCCGATTTATATGCTCCTTGCATTTTGCGGAAAGTGATTACATTGAGTTCGCGGGTGTCAAAACGGAAATCCCATACCGTTTAATTCAGCGAAGTATCGTCCACAACATTTGTTTGTTATTTTTTTTTGTTTGTTTCTTCAGTGATGATTGTAAAAAAAAGAAAACGATATGTAAACATCGAAAAAGGTTTGAAAAAAAAAAAAATTCACGGGGGTTCGAACCCGGTCCTACCGCGTGTGAAGCGGACGTCTTTCCCACTGAGCTACTGGGGCATTTTTTTTTTGTATTTATTGTGAGCTACTGGGGCATCTCGTCTCTGGTGGATCTCTTTCCTTAGTAATAATTCAGCCGATAAACTGTAAGTTGGAAAGTTTGCTGCCGATTTTCCTCTAGCAAAAGCACTCCCGGGTCGAAGTCGGGATGCACCACGCATTGGCGACATTCTCACCTTGTAAAGATATTGTACGCGTGCATATTCAACTCGATGTAGACACGTCGTGCTTGCCGTTTGCGCGAGCGATGTCTTCAGCCACGAGAAGGGAGCGACGGCTCGGCGACGTCTTCGTGCAAATCGGTTTGGTGGTCGGGCGTGTCGTACGGGATGAATACCAATTCTTTTGATTAGTCCCAAATTTCTCTTTTAAAGGTAGACAGAATTCGCCAGTACCGCGAACAACAGTTCTGAAATAGAGGTCCCACGCCCGTCGTCCGCTGCCATCGCCGTCCCTGCGAGTCCCACGATACGCGAAACGACGCACGCACAGAATGCTTCCGGTTGTTTGTGCAACTTTTTTTTCAATCAACGTATTTGCAGCTTTTTAGAAGCCACAAAAAATGGGTTTCATATTTTTTTCTATTTTTAATATTGAGTGTGTGCCTTCAGTGACCCACGACTTTGATTAAATTTGGTGGTCGCATCGATACCTTAGAAAACGGCCCGTGACCGCGGAAAAGAGAGTGAGCGAGACTCGAACCGGCCAGTTCTTGATCGGCGGTTTTCGGGTGGAAAGAAACCGAATTTCGAGCCGCAGATTTTGTTCTGGGTAGTTGAGCTCTCATATGTCACGTACAACTAAAAATCTCGGCGAGCATAAATGCCCTGTCAGTGTCCCTTTAATATTTCTGGAGGATGGAAGACGGTTTGCTGGTATTGCAGATAGAACTTGAAAAAAACTGGCAACAATGATTTTGAGCACCAAGGTGGCTGAGGTGTCGTTGCTCTGAAGTGTAGCTTATGGAGTGGCTCTAGTCCACACTTGGGGCTTTGTGTGCTTTATTAGCTCACAAAGAAGCATTTATCAATCATCATTAACACAGTCTGTCATTAACGAAAATTCTCTACAGCTCACTCCAATGAAAGATCTCGCGCAAAAAGATGCTCACGTAGTCCTCACCTGTAGCTAGTCCGTGCCACATTAAATTTCATCTTTCTTTCGGACGTATATATATAGTGCACAAACTATAGTCTGGAAAATCTGGTAGCTTTTTAGTGGGCTTGCATTTGTTTGCCTTGTTCCGCTTGTTGCTTTAAAACTTGGTAGCATTCCCTTTCTGTGCCTGATTCAGAGGTTACGTTTTGAGCAACTGCGTTACAACCGCTCCCACTAAAATGCAATTGCAGATTACCGTGGCAGTCAAGTGCCACGCTGCGTGTTGTGAGGGAATGCTATGCAACACAGCGTAGCTCAATGAAAGGAAATGTGTGAATCAGATTTTTGCCCTCTGAATGTCTATCTTTTGTTTCTTTCTTTTGCACATTTGGCTGACATTACTCTCGAGGGCAGAATTATGGATCAGGCTTGAGGAGAGGAAAGGAAGAGGCATTTTGCCTGAGGGAGGGTTTGATGTCACGGGGTGAAGCGCTGCCAAGATCGATTTTGGTGGACTAATGTTTGCTATTTTACCAAAAACTTAACGTTTCCTCCTAAGAAGGGCTTGTGTATGTGTTTTTTTTCCATGAGAAAGTTGACCCTGGAGGCACTTTGAGTAAGTTGGTCACCCCCCCCCCCCTCCCTTTTAGCTTAAATCTTCTTGTGCCCCTAAGAGAAAATGTGCTATGACCATTCGTCACTTCAGCGGTTATTTTCACCTCGATGTCGAGCGACAGAACTTTCCTTTTGCACGGTGCACAACTCATTGTTCCAAGAAGAACACAACCACTTCCAGCACTACACTCGAGGCACAAAACGATTTTTGTTGTTGCAGACGCGTAAGAGCTCTAGTTTGTCGGGCGTAGGTGCATGTAATGGTGGACTTCTTTTTCTACATGAGGGGCAGAAACTACAAGGCTACTCATCATGATCACCACCACTAGCACCACCATTGGTGTGTGCTTTTTTATTTTATGAAAAAGATAATGACTGCACATTGTTATGCTTACCGTAGAATACCGTGCATCCGCCCATTCCAAAATAATCTCCCTAATTCGGATTTCTAAGATCTGAGGAAATATGCACAGTACATTAATATGTAAAATCGATGACTAAACAAGTGCCCATCCCCCATTTTTTTGCGATTATCTCTAAATTTTGAGTGGGCGCTTGCCCGGTATTTTACGGTAGGTAGTTTTAAACAATAAGGTTTGTTTCTGTTAAATTTTTTTTTCTTGCAGAGGCCGCCGATATGTGTATGTGCGACTTCCAAACTGCAGCACAAAAGTACTTCCCTAAATCGACGGATAAATGACATCATTAAATCGCAGTGATGTGATTGCTGCGCCAATTGCGCCAAACTGCGCCAATGGGCGAACCCTGCTACATCCTGCTGCATTTTGCCGAAACATGGGCAATCTGCACCAACCCTGCGCCAAAAAAACCTTTCAGACACCTTTCCAAACCGAAACTAAACTGAGTACCGTAATTGAACATGCATAAGTGGCCAGGCCGTCCGACACAAAGTATCAATGGTCCATGCGGTCTTGCATGGTTTTTCCCGCCGTCTCTCGTTTTGCGCTTTTGTCGTCTCGAAAGTCTCGTCTCGCATCTTTTTACAATTTTTTCACGGACACACGCGGGCGTGTGCGGACACTCCAACTGTAGCGTGTTGTTTACCAGGCCAGCCATGCTGTCGTGCTGTGAAACAGAACCAAGTTTTTGCGTGGCGGGAGTTACTTTGTGAGCTGAAGCACTCGCTCCTGAAAGCAATGGCCGTGGAAAAGCCATATTTGGTCTCTGCCGTGGTCGCGCGACGTCGGGTGTTGCCATCCGCACGTCGTTGCAATATGGCGCTTTCTAAACTGAAATATAAGGACTGCTACATGTTCATCTACATTCCTCAGGGTGTCTACCAGCCGGCAAAACCAGGAATTCTCGGGGATTTTGAATAGTCTGGAAAATCGCACGGAAAGCACGGGGAATTTGTGCTTCTGTCGGGGAGTTTATTTTTTATCTTTAGAAGTGTTACAGATGGACTCTCAGAGTCCAAAATTCTTCAGATATCGATGGAATGGGCCAAACGTACACTTGAGCCCGGTTATATCACACCCGTGTATTTCTAATTATTGTTTACTTATATGAAACAGTTCAAACATCCCCTAGAAAATCACATTGTTTTTCTGTATGGAACATCCATAACTCCCATGGTGGGGACACTCAATGTAGCGAAGGAAGCAGAAGCAGGGCCAGGCGCAGCCGTTCTCAGTCCTTCGCTTCTCCAGGGGTCTGATTGCCCCGGAGGGGAGCACTTAGCTCGGGTTGTGGGGCTGGCAGACTGCCAAGCCAGCACACCGCACGCCGGGGAGCGGGGGGGGAGTGAAAAAGCAATTGTATATATAAAAAAGAAACGAATAAAAACAAAAATGTGGAGGATGGCAAAAACAAGGGGAAGGGCACACGTAGGGAGGGCAGGGAGTGCCCGCTGTTTAAATGGTCGCCTGCGCTCCTTTCCCCCAACACCGCTGTCCATTCTTTAGCCCCAAAATGAAATGAGCAAAAAAAAAAAAAAAGAAGATTTTGTCAAGTGGAGTGTGTTGACAACAAAAGTTGAGCAATCGCACTTTGAACGCCTTATCTTTGTTTTCCTTTTCTTTCCTCGTTATCACTCCCATTTTTCTTTTAGAGCTCAGCTCTTAGGCGTCCGTTTCCGGCTTGAGCGGCGTCGCCGTCAGCGTAACCTGAGGTCTTGTGACCCTCACCCCCGAGGTCACATGACCTCACAGGGGGGGGGGGGGGGGGGGTCTTGTAAATTTCAGCTTAACTTTTTATATTTTATTCGCTATGATTTTTACTAACCACTCCGTTCTGTTTTCTTTTTGAATCTAATGAAAGTTACTCGTTACCATTAAAACTATTATGTCGTTTTTTTTTATCTTATAACATGCTTTTTAGAGAGTGACAGCATCTGGCGACATTGTGTCAGCCCATCTTGACCTAAAACAAAGTTCTGGGTCACTCAGGGAATTTCACAGAAGTACTCAGGGAAAACCTGGAAAACTCTGGGAATTTGAAAATGTCAACTTGGTAGACACCCTGTTCCTGTTCTTGTTTAAATCATATGCTACTACAAGAATCCCTCCATAACTCAAAAAAAGACTGCTGTGTTAAAGTATTGATTACCCAGGTTACTCTCAGTAGGCTTTCTTTCGAGGAGGACCCCCAATAAGTGAAAAAGCTGCCACGAAAGGAAGTTGGTGAAGAGAAGTGAGCTACAGCAAAGAAGGCAATGTCTGCACGCTGAACCCGCACAGCGCTTGTCTCGAGTTCAGTCGTTGCGCAAAGTGCTCTAAGAACTTTTGCACCCTGGCTCGCTATGTCTTGCATGATACGCCCAAAGTTCTTTTTTTTTTTTTTTTTTTTTTTGAGTGGGTTTAGTTTGTACCATGCTTGCCGGCCTGGCAAGCACGTGCCGTTGGACTGTTTTTTGTCGTATGCTGGACAGTTACATTTTGCTTTCAATTTTGGCAACCAGTTGGCGACGGAGCGGAATGGCATGGTTTCGGTTTCAATCGAACAGCCATCTTCGCTCGCACGACGTAGCACGTGAATACAAGACTGCCGAAGTTGCCTTCATGCGCATGCGAACATGACTGCACGACAGAGGCACCAGCCGGGACGCTTGCAATCCATTGTTTTACGTTTACTTACTTTTGACGAAACTCTGGCACGTCGGAAACCAGTAAAACGATGGCAAGTGGTTTTTCGGAGTTGCTTGGCAATGCCTACAGCAGTGTACACTTTTGGGATGCCTCTCTGGAGACACTGAAAGTGGAGATTCATTACTAGCCGAAGGCCAAGCGAGGCTTGCAGCAGCCCTGCAGAAAGTTTCGAAAAGCAAGAAGAAAACCCCCGCTAGCCGTAATGCATCTTTGTCTTGTGTACAATTTGGCATTGCACTGCAGTAGTTACGTGTCTCATCAGTCGGAGACTGCTTCCATTTATTGTGTAACTAGTCAACCTAGTGCTGTGATATTTACTACTAAGCTGGTCATTTTCAAAGAAATTTTAATATGTGCAGTTTGGTTCTTATTTATGTATAGCGGGTACGTATAGGTACAGTAAAATCTCGTTATAACAAAATGGGATATAACAAACTAATGGATATAACAAAGCAATCGTAATTCCCCTTGCTTGCTATAGTGGGAAGAAATGGACATTGGCTATAACAAACTAATGGTTATAACAAAATAATTAGGACAGCTCCTTCAACTTTGTTATAACGAGGTTTTACTGTATATGTATCATTTAACTCAAGCATTGCAAAATGTGTCATGCCATTAGCATTTCAGTTACATGTTGAAAGGCTCCCAGGTTGTCTAACTTGACCATAATTTGTTTATTGCGGCGAGCAATGTGCCCTTCGTTTGTCCAGCTCTTATAACGAATATTTTTATTTTTCTAAGAATATCTGCTCCAAAAGCCACTTTTGCTACTTCGAAACGCTGTTTTGGCTGCTCCAAAGGCCACTTTTGGTGCTCCAAAGCACTGTTATGGCTGCTTTGAAAGCTGCTCCAAAACGCTCAGGCCAATCACATCAGTGAAATCGTGAATTTCGTTAGATCTGGGTTTGTTAGACTGAGGTTCAACCGAATACGTTACTTTAAATTTTATTTCTGAATCTGCGTCACCATCTGATGAGCATTCGAGACCCAGACCTCGTCGAGCCAATGAAGATTTGCTTTTTGTCCGTGGCTCCGGCACCTGTACGTGCAGATGCAAATAAATGATTTGATTTGATTAATTGATTCCACTTGTCGTTAGAAAACATTTCAAGATGAACGACGGTGCTTCTTAGAGCAGTGGCTGAGGAGACGCGCGTGCCTGCCCTCCTTGCAGGTGCCCGACAGCTGCGTCCAAGTGGCGAGGAGGGTGTGGGAGGGTCCCGAACCCCGGCCCAGCGCCGGCCAGCCCACGGACGAGGACGTGGCGGAGGGACTCCGGGCCGAGGAGCGCCGCAACAACCAGTGCTTACGGTGCGGAGTCACTTGTTTTTTTTACAACCAGCACCTTCAATTACTAGGAGTATTGTGCCCCGAGTGCATCTCGGACCGGTGTGCGAGCGCATTCTTAATTGCGGTCCCTCGATTTCCGCCCGACGACCTCACGTTGCATTGCGCTGCTGACCGCCACGATCCACGGCAGTGGATGCTCCAGACACCCATCAGTAGGTTGCCCTCCGGTGCTGCAGTCCACAGAAGCTTAGGCAGCCAGGAGGCGGGTTGCCGCGACGACGGCAACACTTTCGTCTGATCATACTTTTTGCCGGAAATTCTACGACCAATCGCTAAGGTCGTGGCATCCAACAGCTTGACTCAGCAGCTTCGGTGACTTCATTCCTTAGTACTTGGGACTACAGTAGACTTCCTTTAAGACGAACACGAAGGGACCCTGAGAATTTGTTCGACTTATCAGATGTTCGCCTTAAGGGGGGAGACTACCCAGAAAAAACAATTTCTGCAAAAAAAGTTGATATTGAAGAATGTCATATTTACATCCCCTAGCATCTAGAGAGTACAGTATAGACCACTTACAACGTAACCGCTTATGGTGCAGGACCGGGTATAACGCGGCTTTTTTAAACCACCGGTTCGCCTCCCATAGAACTCCATGTAATAACATACCGCTTAAAACACAGGCGCACGAAGGAAAATACCGGTTATAGTGCAGTTTCTGGAGCAGCGCGCCGACCGCGCAGCGAGCACGCTTCCCTGTGCGACACCAGATAACGGCGCTAGCCACAAGCGGCACTCGCGGGGGCAAGGACGGCAGGGAGGTTGCTCGAAGAAGCGGGGAGAGAGGCTTCAGTTGCCATAACGACTGAGGGACGCACGCACGTGTCGTTCACGGCGCAAGGCGTTGACGAGCCCATTGGTCGTGGCCCAACCAGCCGTTCGCACGCGTTGCATGCCAGTCGGAGACCGTCTTCTATGCGCAAACATGGCGTCGGTGGTGATCGTCGACATCAACGGCGTAGTGGAAGCTCATCGTTCTGCGTAGAAGCGCTATCCTTAACTGTGAATTTTCGTTGTGCGTCGCTATGATAACCCACCGTGTACTAGAAGGGAAGATCCACCTACTCGTGCGGCGATGTCGTGGCGGCACTCTCAAGACGCCTGTGTTGTCGTGTTTGTTTGCTTCGACTACAGTGGTGCTTTCTAAGCATTTGCGGTTTCAAACATCGCCCGGATTTCTTATTTGGAGCATTTCATGCCTTTTTTGGAGCATTTCATGCGCGTACCGTATAAAGGATGCAAATTTTCACGCGTTTTCATCACCGGAAAAAAGTGATGAGGGTTAGCAATCCTGAACGCTCGCAACGTCCGTCCGCAATCCGCGACGCCGTTAAAGGCTGCGCCAGGCAAAAGCCGCTCATTTCTTTCAAAATGTGTGACACACTTGAGAGAGAAGTGTACTAGTCTGGTGAAATAAAGACTTTCCTCAAACTAAGCTTTATTTTTCACCTAACATAAAATAAATTGTTTTACAAAGGTAAGTTGTCTCATGGCATGTATTTTGGCCTGAAAAATTGATGTTTTGGTTATAGTGCGGATTTTCGCGACTCCCGCGACATACGTTATATGCGGTCTACGCTGTATTCCCAGAAATTTTCATTAGTTTACACTGCATAGTTAATTTTTTATAAATTATTTTCGGTCCACCGATGCTAAAGAAAAGGTAAGGGTTAGAGCACTTTGAACACATTTTTCTCCATTCCACTTTTTGGCATAAATTTCCCTTTAGAAAAACTATCATTTTGTTTTTACATAACTTGGATTCATTTTTACAAGTTTTTCTGGGGTGGAATTTTAATGGGAAGATAGCTATGGGGGGGTGGGGGGGGAAGCTTGAATTATTTTATTTTTGTCACTTTTCATGCTCAAAAACTAGCATTTCGGGCAAGGAATGGAAATCTAAAAAAAACAGCATTTGTGTTTAGTGGCTCTTTTGTCATGAAAGATGGTATAATATAGAAAAATAGCTCCATAGCTATCTGTTCTGAACTGTTCTAGAGCAGTATAACACATGAAAACGACAAATTTATAAGTAATTTCAAAACGATAGTTTTCCTACGCAGACACGCCCACTTCCATCTGAACATTTGCAATTCTTATTGTGCTTCACCCAGGTTAACAAAATTTTGCACAAACGTTCTCAACATCAATAGAAACAAGCCCTGTAAATGTCATTTAAATCAGACAAGTGGTTAAGAAGTTCACTTTTTTGGGTAGTGGCACTTCTTAGGGCACTTCTTAACAGAAGTGCCCTAATTATCATGCTGGGCATGTCTAAATTGCTGTTGACCAATAAACACAGAATGAAAAGGCCTACAGTTAAGAGATACTTAAAAAGGGACATTTATTTGGCTTACGATGCCAAAAGAAAAAAAACAAACAATGTTTCACACACCGCTGGTGGGGGAACCGATCCATTCGGTGTTTTTTGACTGCCTTCTCCTCTGTGCAAATCGGTGTCTAGCGATGAAAGACGAAATGTGGCCCATGTTCCTGAGAAAACATGGGCCACATGTCATAATTGAACCTTAATCACTGTCATTACGTCCATGACACTCCTTGTTTGGTGCCTCCTCCCAAAGGCAGTCATCTTCAGTGCCATCTAGCGCATTTGAAATCCCGCACTTCTTGATAGAGCAAGCAACGAGCGTGTGCCAACGCAGAGAAACCCCGGCGCGGCGCATAAAGCGAGTAACCCAATGTCGGCTCGCCAAAGTTCTCATGCAGCAGCTCTATGTTTACGGCGAGGTGCCGTTCGCACTGCTCCTTTACAAAGTCGCTGAGACTTACTTTGACGTCGGAAAACACGCCATTCTTTGGGTTCCTAAAGCTTCTTCTCGGTCTGTTGCACGCGAACAGAGCTTGCTTTTGTCATCTCCATCCGCAGATGCTGCCCTCATTTATGGCGAACTGTCAGTTGGCAGCACTGTTACCGATGCCTTCCGCAACCAAAAGAACTTTTCTTTCGTAGGCGACCGATGATTGTTTTCGCGCCGACACCATTGGCGAGCCTCACTGTGGATGGATGGTGGCGCCTCGGACATTGCGATTTTAATGATGATGATAGCTGTTTTGAGCACCATATCGCTTCGAAACCGAAACTATGTCAAACAGCATTAGATTGCGCTTCATCGAAGCTGAAAATTTGAAAAAACCTCGTATCATATGCAGGTTTTTACGGTACATCTTGCATACAGCTCGGCCGGCGCAATGCGTGGTGTCTCCGTCGGTGCAGTGCCATCACAAAGGGGACCTATGGGAGTTTGAGTTCACCAAAACGCGCACGCAAAGCAGTTAGTGTTAAAAATTTTTTTTTTTGCATTGCATCTATGGGAAATGAATTAAATGTTCTTACTTTATTCGGCATATCCGAGGATTCCGCTTAAGCGAGTTCGCCTTAACGGGAGTCTACTGTACTTTCAACGAGTGGGCTGCGGCGTACTGGGAGGAAGGGACGTTGTCCCGCGGGGGATACTCCCGATTCCGAGATAGAAAGAAGTTGAAGGCAACTTAACTCGCGTCGTCACACTTTTGCGGGACATTGGCCATTGCGAGAAGACCTCTTGGCCAAAACACAATTGCTGGCTAGTTGCTCGAGAACATTAAATGCGGTGGCATTTCTGAGTGAGCCTGACTCGCTTTTGCGTCTGTATATCGGGTTGTAATCGATGAAGCAGGCAGCGTGGCAAATGCAGTTACCATGGTTCTGCTTATGTTTATGTTGGTATAGTAGAGGAGAAACACTTAAATTACAGTAATGCTACAACGAAATTAATTGGCTGATCGCAGGAGGCCCACCCACTTGAAGTAGACAGTTGGGGTAGATCAGAAAATTATGCAAATTGGTTTTAAATGCGATAAAAGACTTCATCGACGTTGACGAGAAATATTCCTAAAGTTTCCACACCAATTCCTAAACAGATTCCTAAACAGTTTAATAGTCTTGTGCGAATAGTGGATTTTGAGTCCGAAGCGAATTCGAATCGAATAGTGGTTTTGGCCGAATATTTTCGATTCGAATATCGAAGTTTTTCCACGCCTTTCACTACCATTGAATAATGCTTAGACGAAAACCCAGCTAAACCTGTAAAGGTTATTCCACTTTTTCATTCATAAGCTAAGCTTAATCTATCTATATTTATGAACTGTGATCTCAGAAGGTCTGGTGTCTTTGGATGGCAAGTAAACGACAGATTTTACATAAAATGAATCCTATATAGATGGCCAACTATACCAATTGAGTGAATTTACAAATCTTGATATATAAAATATTTTTTCTTTAATCTCAAGTGAAAAAATAATTAGTCGCGCATGATGAACATTGGTTGTAAAAACATCTCTGCCTAACATTGTATACTCTTTCGTAAAAGTTTAATTTTTAAACTTTTACTACAATGTAGATATACACATTCACAAAGTTTCCATTTATTTTCAAATACAGTTGGCACAGGTGCATCATCCCGCTTTGAATGAGTGCTTTTCTTGAGCATGCAATTACGATATTGTTTATCGCGGCAGGCTACCCCGTTAAGTGCGCTTCTTAGCGTGCACAGATGTATTGCGGAGAAGCAACACCCGCAGAGCTCACTTTCGCGGGTTTTGCTTCTCCACAGCGCACCGGTGCTTGGTAAGAAGCGCACTCAACGGGGCTAACCCGCGGTAATCAACACTTCGAAAAACACGAATAGTGCAGTTCTTTTCGAAGCGAATATCGAATAGTGTATTATTCGGAACTAATATTCGAAATTTTGAATATTCACACAACCCTACAGTTTAATAAAGAAACGTTTGCTCAATACAAGACCGTGCAAAATTCTCTCGCCTTTCAACAACAACCTGCGAAGCGATTTCAGCAACAATTTTTGGTTGTGAATTTTAGCCAGACTCTTTCGACAGAAAGTACGCGAAAATATTTGTTGCAGGTAGTTGGCTACGAGAACCGTGTTGTAATCTTTCAAACCTGATGCTGTGGCAGGAAAAAACAGATACCCATTATTGGCACCATCTGCCTGGGTTCTGTGTGTATGGCTAGTTGAGTGTAGGATTTGCGGGTGAAGCTCTGCCTCTAGCACGCGTCATTGCCTTTCCATCTTGACTTGGTTGCACATGCACCTTCATGTGGTCAAAAATAGCCCACGCTGGAGGCAGAGCTTCTACTACTTCAGATCTGTCGTTGCAATGGACTGCAGTCTTCAGGAGCTACAGGCACGAGCATGAACAGGCACAATTGTATTAAACTTTGCGAACTTTGAGTATCAAACTAGCCAGAGGCAATTCTGCATTTGACCAGCGTGTGACTTTTTTTTTTTTTTCTTTCCAGGGCATACGAGGACCTGGTATCCAACCTTGTCAGTCAGGTGGAGAGCGGAACGTTGTGAGTCGGTGTTCTCGACAGCGATTGATTGATTGAAAACACGTTTATTGACCTTATATTGCGTGGAGCGCGCTGCGGAGGTCAGTTAGATGGAGGACAGCGACCGACTATGCCCGGCGGCGTCTTTCTCGCGCTACGTTGTTGAGGCCGGCGTAGTTTCCGCCAAAGTTGCCGAATGTTCTCGGGTTACCGAATCTCCCAAGCTTTGTTTCAGAACCGAGTCGTGGCGCAGCAGTCACCCTGCAACCCGTCCTCGATATGGTGCCGCCCTGTTCGGTCGAAGCGAAGTGCATAAAGCGTAGCATTCGTTTTTGCAGGAGCCCTTTAATCCACTTCCTGGTCTGTGGCGACGCTGGTTTGTTTTAGGGGCAAAGCTCCCTAGGGTCTAGCCTTGTCCGTCTGGCGTCCGTGCTCACATCGATCTTGCTGGTGCTTGTGCTCATGCTCGTGAGCTCACGTGCTCGTGTACGTGTTGTCATTGTTCAGCGCACGAAACACGCAAAGTTGTTTTGCGTTGCAGTGTAGATTTAACGTTGTATATAAAACCAAATTGCTTTTCAAATGGTAAAAGCCTCCTTCTGGTCAGTGCGTAAAAGTGACACGGTGGAAGTATAAAAATAATTACTGAAACAATGTTTTGTTTTTTTTCCCTTTCACCGGCTCGATTTGTGCATTTGGCCGAAGTTAAGGCCCGTTCGGACAGTTGCGTTCGGAGCGACCACTACGCTTACGAACGAATGCAACCGGTTGGAACGACGAGTTACCATAGCAACGAAGCGCCAAACGGTCGTTTCGTTCGTGTTCGTTCGCAACGCAAGGAGTTGAGCCGGGCTGAACTTTTTCGTAATGTTGGGGAACGACGGGAGTGACCGCAACAGCATACCAATCACAGGCCGAGGAGAGCTCGGTGGCGCGCGCGTTGTATGCCGGTCGTGCCGGGCTCCTTCTATCTGCAAACATGGCGTCGGTGGTGATCGTCGACGTGGACGGCGTGCTGGAAGCTCAACGGTCCCCGTGAAGGCGCTATCCTTGACTGTGAATTTTTGTCGTGCGTCGTAATCGTAACCCAGCACGTACTAGAAGGGAAGATCCACCTACTCGTACGGCGATCTCGTGACGGCACTCTCAAGACGGCAGAAACACCCGTGCCGTCGTGTTTGTTTACTTTGATTACAGTGGTGCGTTCTTAGCATTTGTGTCCTCGAACATTGCCGGGATTTTTGGCGCATTCCATGCGTGTGCTCAAGTTCAAGGTATTACTGGTGCGTACCGTATAAAGGATGCCAATTTTCACGCGTTTTCACCCGAGAAAGGTGATTAGTGTTAGCAATCCTGAATGCTCGCAACATCTATCTGATCACGAAATTATATTTTACGTTGCTATATCGCTGCTAAGATTACATCGTCTTTTATAATCGTAGAAAAGGCGTGTGGCGAGATGTGTACTGTTGGCAAAGTCGGGTATTAAAGTCGTGATCGTGCAAGACGGGCGTACTGCATCTTTTTTCTTTTTTTAATGCACTACCCTCCAAGTGTATCGTGAAAAAAAAAAAAAGTTTAAGATCATAGAAGATGGTCTGTCTAGTTTCTGTTACGCAAATGAGGTGCAGCGCGTTTCCCTTTTTATAGAGGCACCGCTGAAACAGCTGACAGCGGTGGACAGGTGGTCGCTGTGCTGCCGATCCACTGTGCTTGTTGCAGCGGTTGCAGGAGTGTACGCGCAGCGCAGAGCGGTCGTTCTTGTCGCTCCAGTCACAACGGACGCAGTCCTGGATAATGGGTTTGTTTCAGACGTGTGAGCCAGCCTTTACACAGCTATAAAAATTCAAAAGCGCAAACACCAAGGAAAAGAAGAGGGGACAGGACAGAGCGCTTACTCCAACTGGAAGTTTAATGTATTCCCCGAGGAAGACATAGAATTTTTTAATGCATCTATAAATTATAACAATAATTTTCTTCTTTTTTACCTTCACATGCCTAACTCTTCTTCTGTGTCTTCCTCGGGGAATACATTAAACTTCCAGTTGGAGTAAGTGCTCTGTCCTGTCCCCTCTTCTTTTCCTTGGTGTTTGCGCTTTTGAATTTTTATACAATGTGTAGCCAACTAGCCCAACAGTTAATTTTATTTACACAGCTATTATAGGTGCACAGCAGATCTTCGTGACTGTCCGCGTAGCCAAAAACTCCAGCTGCTCCAGTGAGGACCTTGCATCGGGCAGTAAACAATCGGCCATGTTTGTAAGCGTAGCTGGGTTGCTTACTATTGGCGTGGAGCAAGAGCTGAAGGTCATTTCTCATTGGCTGTTGGTTTGTGTGGTTGCATACGATTGCATGTGTGTGTACACGTCGCACACAGTTGTCGTTGAAGTCGCAGCGGTTGCGTTTGTTCTTAAGCACAGTGGTCGCTCCGAACGCAACTGTGTGAACGGGCCTTGAGACTTGTGGTTTGTTTCTGGAGCACTGAACTTTGGGAGGTATAAGATGTTGAAAATCGCCGAGGATCTTGGAAGTGGCACAAGCTATTGTAAAACAACTATTGTATTTTCCGGGCTATGCTTTGCACCCAGTGTATACACCTTTACAAAAAACACTCGGCCCCAGGGGCAACAAACCGCTTTCGAGCCCAGTCACTGAGTTTGAGGCTAGACTCTCACCGGCGTCCCTCCTAACCCTAACCGAGCGGACTGTGATTTCAGTAGGCACAGTTCCAAACGCTGCTGGCGGCTAAATTCTTGTCTTTTCCCGCCATATTTTGTGTTTCATGGGTCATGTATTTTCCCGAGGACATTGAGAAAGCATTGTGCCACATTAAAAAACAAAACAAAAAAAAACAACTATTTTTGTTGGGTACGCGCGCGACAGAACGAATGCGACTGGAATGTATAGTTCTAGTTATTTGTTTTTTTTCTTACGATAAGTTTTGACGGCGCCGCGGGATTTGCCGCATGTGAAACAACAAAGCGCTTTGCTGACAAAAATAAATTGCAACAGAAAAGGGCCGAAAGGCATGCATTTTTCACGCTCACAAATAACGTGTTTACCGATGGACAGGACACAGACATACAATTGAGGAAGTGTTAACATTCGAACAATATATCGTACATACCACACAATGCAGCGTTATCCGAAAAGAATTTATTTGAGAAAGATCTCAAATAACACAGTCACAGTCGACGACAGTCACATCTTGACGACCGGACGGAATCCGAGATGACTTCGTTTTGGGGCACGTTTTTGGGAGAGCTTCCTTTTTTCACAACTGCACCAAGGCAAAGAAACAAACGCGACTGACCCGTTTCTCACCCCAACCCGGACAACTATTTTTGGAGATGACTGAGGATTCTACGCGGATTATCTCTGAACCTAGAATTATCTAGAACAATGTTCGCAAAATCTCATCGAGGGTCGTTCGACGTCCTTCACCTCCTTCGTTTCCCGTGAATGTCGAGCAGAAAAGCTGGAATGGCAGGCACTTACCAGCCTCATTTCTCACAATGGAAGATAACACAAAAAGGGTGCGCAGCACGCATAAAAAAAATTAAGTGGAAACTTTCAAGAGGAGTGAGAAATCGTCGAATGCAAAACCGCAAAAACATAGGTAGAGAACCGCGCTGAGCGGGTCTTCACAGTCCCAGAGAGTGGCACAAAATTTCTAGCTGATAGAGGGCGCGAGAGTCGCACCAGCCGCATCAGCATCAGCAACATGGCGGCGGCCTAGGAGCGTTTTTTGGAAAGGTGTATAGTCTGCAGGGGCAAATTTGGAGTCGGAAATAAAAGTTCTTACTTAGGTAGTTTGCACCCGGTGCATAGTCCGCCTGCCGTGCATAATCCGCACCTGGTGCTTACTAGGCATGAAAATCTTCTCGTGCACGGCACACCTTGATGAATGTCTGCTTTGTTAGCTCGCAAGGAGGCTCACGTTATACACAGATCATCATTATCATACTCTTTCATTCACAAAATCCGTCACGTCTCTTCACAAGGAACTATCTTGAAAAACGAAATTCCTGTATAGTCCGCATGCGTAGGTAGTCCGCAAAGCTTAAAATTTCAACTTTTAAACATGTATAGTCGGCGGGTTAAAGCCCGGAAAATGAAGTACTAAGTATTATCCTCCAGAAGGTTGTCACAGTGTAGATAAGAGTCCACATTAGGCTTTGTTCGAGGAACTTTGAACCTCGTCCTTGGGCTCACGTTTGAAGAGAACATTGAAGGGCCTTGCTAGATGTAGTAGTCAAGTACGAGTGAATTTAATTTGCTCGTTAACTTTTTCATTAGTTGATAATTTGGGAACTTTTTAATTAGTGAAAATAAACATAAGGTTCCAATGGGAAATCTGCCGAGCGTCATGGAAAACCATTAAGTGAGCAAGTTTTAGAAATTTGCGAAGCACACGGGTGCACGAAAGTTGCAACTCCTGGAGCAGGCACAAGTCTGGCGGAGCGAAGAGGCTGATGGATAAGCGTGGCATACTTTGTTTCCGCTCGTGTCCAGACTCGGCTGACGCTACGAGTTCAATAAAACTCCAAAGCACAAGTCCTTCCCTGTACATGATGGCTTTAGCGACATACAGAAACACGACTTTGGACACCGTGTGATTGGTCATATGAGCTCGTAGCGTCGACTGCGTCTCGACTTAAGATGAAACAAAGTTATGCGTTTGCATTTGTTTTTGCACTGCCAGCACTGCACCTGTCGCCCAAGGACTTGCTAACTTTAGTGCACCACTGCATTTCGCACACGCCCCAAATCTTTCTAGAATTTACTGATTGAGTGGTTTGAGAACGCAGTTCTTCGGCACCCGTTTCCGGGTTGAGCGGCGTCGACATAACCGCGCCTGTTGCATTATGGGACGTCGCAGTTTCCCCTCTAAATTTAGCGGGGAAACTATTTTGGTGTTGAGACCCACACTAGGTCAATTTCCCCGCTAAATTTAGCGGGGAAATTTTTCTTAAATTTTCCACTAAATTTAGCGGGAAAAATTTCCCCGCTTAAGTTAGCGAGGGGAAATTTTCACTAAATGTAGCGGGAAATTTAGTGAAAGTTTCCTGCTAAATGGGAGGCTAGGAGGAGAGGAGGGAGGGGGGAGGAGAGGCATACCCCCCCTCCCTTCTCCTCCTGAAGAGCTGCGCTCCAATTTCTTATTACAGAGAATTGTAAAAATCTTTTTTTTTTTCAAGGATTCTCAGCGAGTTTCTGATTAAAATCTTGTTTATTTTCAATATTCAAAAATTATATGAACAAATTTAGTTAATTATTTGGCGTATAATGACGATTGTCCTTTGTCCTCTGTCCCCCTGGCTGCGTAACTCACCTGCATACGCAAGTTAGATTACAGACTCTAGATACGTACTATATGCTTCCAAAAAAAAGCCGTGAAAGCTATACTAATGCAGTTTGCGTTGGTGTGGCTTTCACGGCTTTGTTTCGAGATGCAGCTGGGCCCTCTAAAAAAAAAACTCTGTGTAGAGGATCGTGGATAGCCGAAATGCTTAGACGTGTTGCCGGGGTGTGATTGGCAGGCACTGGCGTCACTACCACCTGGCGCTGGTGATGGTGAAGCTGCTGATCCGCAGCGACATTCCCCTGCCCACGGCGGCCGTGCGGATGCTGGTACAGCACTTGGTCCACGACACCATCAACATGCGCAAGGCGAGTGGGGGCTCTGGGCCCCGTAGAATTAATACAATTAATCTGGAGGAAAAGGTCCCGCACATTTCACCCCCTTTGGAACAACGGGGCACACCCATCCGCGGTAAATAATTGGGTTGTGGGGATATTTATACAACGAGTAGTTGGTCAGCCGATTCAGAGTAGCGACGAGTCACTCGCTGTAGATGAGAAATTCAGCCAGTACTGTATAACCGCTAGCCTGAGGTCTTTTATTGTGTACCACGCTGTAGTGATACACTACTGCATGCCGGTATGATGCTCATCCAGATTGAAACGGGCAAAAGTAGGGCTTGAACCCAGGGTCCTGGGTTCTGCTGCGCGAGCTTTCGCTCCACATGCTCCGAGCTGGTGTGCGCGAGACCTACCCATCAGCGGTCCCGATTAGGCTGTATTGCTGGCGATGCTTTGACATGCATGAAGAACAAGAAAAACATCACTTGAAAAGCCTGTGTCTAGCAGTTTTCTAGCTTCTCAAAAAACAAGCGGCGTCGCGCGTCGTATAAAAATTAATTTTTCTAACACTCGAACGATTTCAACTCGTGTCGCATCATAATGGACACACCTAACCTATCGTCTGCTTTCTTTCTCCGCTCTTCCGTCGCTCTCTTTCTCGTTCTTTCTCTCGGGGCCAGCAATGTCAGTGCTCAAGGTTTGCCGCATTCTGCTCCCCTCTCTCCCCCCCTTGCCTGCACGGGTTGTCCGTGGAGAAGAGTGCTCTGGCATAAACGTCGTACAGTTACGTCTTCTTAATACGGACCCTTTAAACGCCTGGAGTGCCAGGTTTTTTCTTATTTCTGCATGCCAAACTAAAATTTTGGTCTCGTTAATGCCATAGCATGCTCTGGGGAGAACATTTATGTATAAAAGACCCACTATTTAATACGATGAAAAATTATTTGGTGTCTGCACACCTCCAACCTACAACATATTTTTCATATGGTACTTTTCTAGACAAAATGTTATGCAGTGGCACCTCGACCTCGCACCCCAAGGTTGTCCTTTTGGACGGGTTTACTCAAAGTTTTTCTAGAGCGCAGCTCTTAGGGGCCCGTTCCCGGCTTGAGCGGCGTCGCCGTCGGCGTCACCAAGGTCACACCAGGGTCACCGCACGGCCACGTGACCACCAAGGTCATCCCAAGGTCACGTGACCCCCAAGATCAAGTGACACCCAAAGTCACGTGACCCCCCCCCCCCCCCCCCCCCCCCCCGTTGTCGTCATCGTCACTGATGACGTCACCGTCATCCGCATCGTCATCATCACTGATGACGATGCGATGACGTCATCAATGACGTCACCGGCATCCGCATCATCATCGTCATCATCGCTGATGACGTCATCGGTATCCGCATCGTTATCGTCACTGATGACGGCATCGTCACGTGACCCACCCCCCAGTAGCCTTCCCTCCTCCTCCTCAAGACCTGCGCTCCAATTCGGCGTTACAGGGAGTTGTAAACGGCTTTCGCTTTTTTAAAGTGATGGCTTTACAGGCAACACCTTACAGAGATTTTGACCTCGTCTCCAGTCGTCGCCACTATGGAAAAACCTTTTCCTCTGCTTTTGGCGCGAGACCAGGGAAGTGGGTTTTCTTGTCGGCCACCCCGCCATCCCGCCAGTAACAGCACTACAAAAGGAGAGTCTTCCATGTCTTTTGCTTGAAAACTTGTCTTCAAACATTACCCGCGTCGTGCGAGATCTCACTTTGGCAATATCCAGTTGCTGCATGTAATGTTGGATGGGTTTTGAAATTTCCACCGCGCTTACCCACTTACTTCACGGATCACTGGTGACAGTCGTCCGTGGCATCCACGACACCAACCACAACGGCTGCGAGAGTGAGCCCTGTCGCACCTCCGTCCTCGGGTGCATGACAGCACCATTCCATCCACATTGCGCGACCATGCTACAACTATTGCTTTCGTTCCTTCGCACATTGTGGGCAAAAATTACGACTTTTTTATTCTAAACAGTCCCGATTCCTGCTTTTCACGGCCATTAAATACAGATTTCATTGGTAATTTGGAGAGCTCAGTGTTCATCTTGTCTCGGAAGTTTTTACGGCGGAGCTGTTAAGGGCTAGGTTCCCCAGTATCGTGTCCGTGTATGTCGACACAAACCTACCTGGATAGCTACTGCCATCTATAAGCGACGGCGGCAAGCACACAACCAGTCTGGTTTCCGCCGTCGCTGGTAGATGGCGGCAACCTTTCCAGCTGCAACAGAAGAAAGGATAGTGCGGCGCGTTGGTGGGAAATAATCGTAGGAAACAGCGCGAAAAACAAGACGACGACGCAGAAGCACACAGTGTATCGAGTACCAGCTCCGCTGGTCTTCCTTCTTCACGAGAGTGGAAAGGCTAAATGTTTTTATCAAATAAGTATTTTTCTTGACAAAAGTCTCCTTTATCTTAAAATATTGAACTGAACAGATGGTAAAAGGGTTCTGTATATGTTGTTGCTATTATTTTCGGTTGAAGTGTTTACACACTTCGCTGTTTTATAGAAGCCATATCTCCACTTGCACACTTCCAATTTTCATAATTCTTTTCTTTCTCTGGTAACTGTATAAGCAGGGCATCCTATAAGGGATATAAATCAGGTCTTCTTTATGTACCTTTTATACTTCCTATGGTCAATAATTTTGAAACTGGAAAATTCAAACGTGTTATAAGAAACTTTTAAATCATCCTAGGGTTTTCATTTATACCTTACTGTATTCCACTGACCTCTCAGTTTACTGAGATACAATTAAGGCCCGTTCACACTCTTGCGACTGCTTGCGACCTCTTAAACCTGGGTTCCTTAAAACTTCTTAAACCAGAGAACACACTGGCGCCATCTATTGGGAAGCAGTGTGAACTCGGCGGTCCGGCATATTTTTTTTTATTTCTCGCGCAATATCCTTTCTTTTTTGGCTCGAAAAGCTTTTGTCAATGTTATAAACGAGCCTTTCTATGGGTATTACGCACATTTGACCTCGGAAATTCCGCAAAACCTTCGCTTTTGTGAAATGCAGTTCTAGGGTCACCGCATAGATGGCGCCACAATGTCAGTGTGTTCCCTCATTCTAGAAACATTTAAGAAGTTGTAAGAGATCTCGTCTCTCTCAGTCGTACTCGGTCGCAAGAGTGTGAACGGGCCTTTATTTTCGAATTTTAATATTTCAGTTTGTCTTAATCCTAGCTATAATATTTGCAAATGAAACCTTGAATGTAAACAAAACTACTTAGGCTACATTGAAACCAAGCGCATATTTGTAGTCACATTGTAAAGGCAGACAAGCTACGTAAATTTCATTTGATTTGCATCACAGGTTATACAAAAAGGCTCTGGAAGCAGTGCTGCCCCTGAAGAGGGAACTGGCGCGTCGCCAAACCGGGATGGTCCGCACTGACCGAGCACACCCTCCTCTGCCGAGCAGACGTCACAGTGCCCCATTGCAAAGGCCCGACATTGCCGCACAATCGCTGCGTGAAGGTTTCAGCACATGTCCACACAGTTTTACCAAACCAAAGACCAAATTAGACATTCGTGTTCAGACAAGAAAAGGTAGATCCGCCTTTGAGGTACGGTAACTCTAGTTTATACCGTAGATAAGAAATTTAGAGAGTGCACTTCCACTGCAAGCCAGGATCTTTAATGTACATCATGCACCAGGAAAGGGCGATTGTATGCCGGTACGATGCTCGTCCAGACAGAGACAGGCGGGGGCGACTATTGAATCTGGGATTGCTGGCTTCTGCGGCACGAGCTTTCACTCCACATCACTAGACCAAAGCCAGTTGACAATCTTCCTAGAACGCCTGGCGCCGTTTTGTGGCACGTCCGCTCGTTGGCACTCCCTGCGCCGTCAGTCAGCCTGTATGAAAAGAAGCAACGAAACCGGGGTAACATGCTCATTGCCTGCACTGGAAAGTAGGGTTGTGCGAATATTAGAAAGCTTCGAATATCGAAGCGAATAATGCCATATTCGATTCGGACTTCGAAGCGAATAGTACTATTCGGAAACTTCGAATATTTTCGAAGTATTTCGAAGTTTGAACACGGTGCAAACCATAACCTTATTCAAAAGAGGTAAGCTAATAACCCTAGTTACACGAGCGCTCTCAACTGCCATTGAGTCAACAATAGTTGACTCAATCGCAATTGGCCGGAGTTAAACGGCGGCTCCAACTTTCATCGAGCCGCTAATCAAACCTCAGTTCAACTGAACGGACTTCCCCAACGGAGGTAAAATGGCACCTATTTACGGGACTGCTGCCGCCGACCACGTTTGCGAGGCACTTACTGTTTCGGAGTGCAGGGGGAGGCGCCCAGAAAGAATCGTGGCAGCAAACATTCCGGGAAGGAATAGGTTTAGGCGTCCGAGCTGCCGCTAAAACAATCCCGGCGAGCCACCAAGCCAGCGAAGATGGCGGAGGGAACTATTTTCGTTTTAGCTTCAACTGTGTTCTTGAGAGCCGCAAAAGATGACATTCCCGTCAGAAACTGTGTGACCGTGTGCTACGATTGCTAGAGCCTGACTTATTTTTGTCCTCTTGCCTCCGATTACACTTAAACTAATTTCCCACGTGCTGCACATCTAACGCGTACGCCGTTGCTACCGTTACTGAGCTGCCCTGCATAGAAAATAATGATGGTGATACCGATAGTTTCTCCAATTTGGAAAATATCCTCATTCTGATAGTTACGATACCTCTCAAATACCGTAATTGTTTTCTTGGAATTAAGTCTGACACGGTCTTGAAATGTCATTCAAAAGTCGAAATCGCGATGCTCTAAGCCAGGGGTCTCCAAACTTTTTGGCTAAGGTGCCGGATGCAGGCTGTCTCGAGGGCCGGAAATATAAATGGGCAGATGTAAATTATCAAAATCTAAATAAATCTAAAATAAAATCTAAATGGTAGCCTAGAAAACATGTTGAAGACGACACGGATAGCTAAGCCATATCAATGTGCAAATTATTCAAGTTCTATTTTTGTAAATTTTCTCACTTTTAAATTAGCAAATGCAAAATATTCGCTTCGCTTCGAAATTATTCGCTTCGATTCGAAACTATTCGTTGAAATTAATTATTCGCTTCGTATTCGCTTCGAATTGAAAATTCACTATTCGCACATCCCTACTGGAAAGTGATTCTATCATGGTTTCTATGCTTCGCACAAAGTTTGCGCAAAAATAGCGTCGTTCAAAAACGGTCTTTCTCCGTTACTCGCGAAAGTGGTTGCACTAGGAATGCTGTGCGCCTGAAACCCCTCGTTGCGATTTGTCCTACAAGTAGTGTCAAATATGCCAACGCACGTTTGGCACAAATTTCATCTAGGGGCTTTATACAGTGGAGCCCCGATTACACAACTTTTGCGGGACCGCACGAAATCGTCGCATAATCCATGAGTCGCATCATCCGAAAAAAAAAAAAAGAATAATTACGGATACAGTGATCGGCCTCGCGCGGAAAAGACAAGCGGAGGTTTTAAATGATGTCAAAGCTAATAATAAGGGTAAACGAGAAAACGGCGGAATGAGTGGAGCAAGGACACAATGCGAAAACGCCTAGGCATTTCGCAACCCGGGGAGGAGAAGGGAAAGCACCTTTTCCTGCCCCGTCCCTGCGCTGCGGCTGTCTTGGGTTGCTGGCAGCGTGTCTCTGGACCCTCTGAAACAGCGCACGGGCGCACAGAACTCTTTCGCATTGCCATGCCACCGCCCCCCTCCCCCTGCAGCCGTCGTATTTGTCGCGCGTTTTCCGCCGGGACGTCCTATGACGCTGCACGCGTAGGATCACGTGTCATGCAATCTCAACCTTTTAATACATTATTTCTATCGGGAGTTCATCGAGACCAGATAAATTCGACGTAAAACGCGGGGTGTCGGATAAACTGGGGACGCATAATCGAGGTTCCACTGTGTCTGCTTGTACCTGCTCACGCGGGCAGCAGATAAGGACCGTTTTCGAGAGACACCCTTCGTCAAGCTTGTCAACCGACAGATCTAGGAACATGTTTGACCGGCACCGTGCGGCCTGCCTCTCCGCAGGTGGCGATCCTCGGGGTGGGCACGGTGCTGAAGCAGCTGAAGCGGAAGCACCCCAAGCGGGAGATGGACGTGGAGCGGGAGGTGGACCAGGCCGCCCTGCCCCTCTCGCCGACCCTGGCCGCCCTGGTGGCCGCGGCGGACGGCGGGGCCCCGCCCAACCTCTGGCTGCAGTTCAACAGCGGTTGCCTGCCGGACACCAGGGAGCGCTGGGACCGGGCCCACTTTGTGCACAAGACCCACGTGGGCTTCCTGTGCCTGCCCAAGCCCTTCCTGGTATACGCCCCTGAGGAAGAGCAGCCCAAGCTGGACCGCACCCCAGAGGAGATGTCTCCGGTGGGTTTCAATTGCGCTACATTTGCGTTTTTCAGAACCGTCACTTCTCCAAGGACTTACGACACGAGGAAATGCGTTGCGTACGTGCGTACGCCATGCAATTGAAAAAGACCCCTTTCAAAACCCCGCCGAGCGAGGTGGGCGGTCGGCATTTCTTGTGCACAAAGCACGCGATTGGACCCCAGTCGTCACCGAATGCCGAACTTGGCTAAGCTCTACACGAGCTTAGCCCAGTTCGTGCTGAATGCCGACGCAGCCCTCGTATTCATTGCGTGCTCAGCGCATTTACCCAATCTACGGCGGGTTTGGGTAATTGGCATGGCAGCCACTGGATGGCATACACTTTTGAAAAGACTGTGTTGTCAGGTCTTCGGTCTTTCGGCGGGGATGCTTCGATTTGAAACTACCGTAAACAACTTCACTTTCGCGGGCTCGGTATTTCGCAAACCTTTCAAAGTGTTGGTTCTGGAAACAATTTGCAGGCAGAAAATTTCACGAAAGACAGTGGTATGCTATGTGTTTGTTCTCACGAGGTGATACTATGTTGGCGAGATCAATGTTTTGCAATGCTTTGAAAGTCGCAAAATTTGCAAAAAATGGATCCTCACAGAAAGTAAAGGGGCTCATTCACATACTCGCGACAGCTTACCCCCGAGCATGTTAAGGCCTCTCGTAATATCGTTACGACGAGTAAAGATGCCGGCCCCATCTGTCAAGTAGCCGTTAAACGGTCATGATTTTCGTATACGGTCACCGACCGAAGTTTCGGTCTTCGCGGGGACCGAAAAAACGTCCCAATAATAGAGTGGTCTGGAAAATCGGTAGGTTAAAATACTTGCCTTTATTGCGTCTAAGTGGGCTTAAAAAAGCCGTCAATAGTGCCTCGCTTCATGTTATGTCTGTGCTTGCATTCGGCCACTTTCTTTTAGTTTGAGAATCTCTGCCTTCTTTTCTTGCGTTATGGTCAAGTACTTTCCACGCTTCTTAGCCACTCCTTGCGGCGGCGAGAGAACATATCGAGGCCATGACATCCAAGCCAGCGTAGTCCGAAGACACGATTCACCGAGACGAGATGAGAGGCCCAACTCCATGACTCTTAACTTTCTTGGGGCAAAGTCGCCAGGACGTGGCTTAAAAGTCTCCAGCTTTCGCAATGACACTGTTTATTGCTAGGGTTCCATGGATTTTTCGTGTGCAGTTACCAAAAACTCTACGCTCGCACCGCCTCACGCGCACGCCTTTCTCGTGTAAAAGATTTGAAGTAAATAACCAAAATAAAGCATTGACGAACGCGCATGCAAGATGCCATTTGTTTTAGGCTTTTGCTGTAGAACAGTTGCTGCCGCAGACGCTGGCACGGGCGGCGCGTGGAGCACCATTCCCTGCATTCTCCTTGATGCTTGGGTAATTTAGCAATAGGTCTATTGAGTAGATTAGCAATCAAGAGGCACCATTTTCAAGAGGAGTAGACTCTCAGGTAGGCAATAAAGGTTTCTCAAAGATTTTCCGCGGTGCGACCCGCATCGGCCATGTCTGTGCTCGCAGCACCCTCTCCTTGCGATTGTTCCAAGCACTTGCGTGCTTCCTTTCCTTCCCCTCTCCTGGGGTCCTGTCACACGTGTCTGGCTTCCTCTGGCTCCTAGGGGCGGCTTTGTGTCGTGTGCTAAACAGCTTCGCTGGTTCTTCACAAAGTGGAATAGCTCATGTTTTTTCTTTGGTTTGGGTGCCTCCCCCCTGGCTACCTCGGGGATGACCAAACAAACTCTCTCGCAGTCGGAGGTGGCCATCTTCGAGGCCTTCAGCTCGGAGACCTTTGTGAGCCAGCTGGCGTCCTACCTGTCTCTGGAAGAGCGCAAGGGCCACGACCGCTTCGACGCCAAGCGCTTCTACATGTTCAAGGTGGGCACGACGGCTGCATCCTGACAACTTTACGCTCAAAACTGGAGGTTCTCAAACTTTCCAGGAACACTTGCCGGCCTTGGATGTTGGCCGAGAAACTGTTCTCATCACTGATGCAATAAAGCAGTCTAGAAACCTATGGACCTTGTAAACAATATTGCCTAAAGGCAGACCTACAGAATCACCTTCTGCCAGAAAAAAAAAAAAACGGTTGCCAGTTTCCTTCTCCATTCCCTCTTGCACTCTTCCCTCCTCCTCTGCCCGCAGAAAGGAGGAAGGCCTTCCTCTTTCTCAAATGGAAAGGAGGAATAGAGGGAGAGTTTTCTTTTTTCTTGCTGCTCATCAGCCCTTGAGTGAGAGAGTGTTCAAGATTAGGCATCAATGGGCGAGTCAGATCCACTAAAATAGCATTTGAATTGGAGGAACGCTCCACTTGAGTATGGGCGCAGTCGAGGAAATTTTGATGCTCGAGGACGTGTGTGATACCTTGGGGAGGGTTCCTAGGAATCCAGCTTCAAAACCCTGAACAGTGCACACCGAAATGTCTGTCACCGGCACCTTACGCGACGTGGGTCTGTGTTGCTCGGTTCCAGGGGCTGTTCCGCAACTTTGGGTCGGCGTTCCTGCCAGTCTTCGAGAAGGTGCTGGCTCGGAGGATTGCGGACACCCAGGAGAGTAACCAGCGCTGTGCCCTGGAGATGCTGGCGGGCATCATGCGCGGCTCCAAGCATTGGGGCTTTGCCAAGGTGCCTCCCTCCGCCCACTCAAACCTTTCCCGATCGCGGACCGACCTCTTATTAAAAATGCAACTGAACATTGCAACATGGCCCTCTTTTCCAGATCAATCTCGGAAAAAGGGCCAAGTCGCGGTGTCGTGTTTTAATGAGAAAGAATGGCCACACAAGATGGTTATTTGGGGTTGTTTTTCCTAATGCTTAGGACGCTTCGGTTGATTTTGTCCCACAAAAAACAATCTCGAGATACATTTTAATGACCCTTTACGTTTTGTCAGGCACTAACGGTGTCCAAATATAAGATTTTTTACTGTGGTTTGAATTTGAATATTTTAGGATATGAATATCTGACATATAATGTAGATTCAGCTTTGATACCTCAAAAAATCGCGACTGAAATTCTTTTTATTTATTTATTTATGTACAATACCCTCAGGGCCATAAGGCATTAGAGAGGGGAGTGGGTGTAAAGTACAATGGTTGATAGTGCTTCTCGGAATCTGATGGGATCCTGAATTGTGACGATGTCTTCGGGAAGGTCATTCCAGTCCACAATTGCATCAGGAAGAGGGGCGTGCTGATGTGCTGTGGAAAAACACTTTGGCCCGGCTCTTTTATTGCAGTGATCGAGTCTGGCAGAAAGATAAGCTGGTGGGGAAAGAAGAGACTGATTTAAGAGTGGGAAATAAAAAACTTTTTGCAGAAGGCAGAGACGGGACATTTTTCGACGGGTGAAAAGCAATGAGAGAGAGATTTGATTTAATGAGGAAAACACTAGAAAAACTGGAGTAATCAGACTGAATAAAACGCGCAGCACGGTTTTGAACAGACCCAATGTAATCTGTTTATGTAGCTTGATGAGGGTGCCAGATTGAAGATGCGTATTCTAATTTAGACCGGACTAGGGCAAGATAAAGGAGCCGTTTTAGTTGAGAAGGGGCGGATCTGAAATTGCGACGAAGGAAACCCAAACTTTTGTTAGCGGAACTCACAATTGAATTAATATGGTTTTCCCAGGAGAGGTTTGAAGTTAGAAGAACGCCAAGGTATTTACACATATCCGTGGGTTGAAGAGGGATGCCATTGAGAAAATGAACAGGAGAGGTTTGAGAAGAGGAACGGAAGAAGCGCATGCATTTACATTTGTTGACGTTAAGCGTCATCTGCCAGTTAGTACACCAGCTCTGAACTACAGTGAAACCCGTTTAGAACGAACCCACGTACAGCGAATTATCGTCGATATCGAACTCTCGGAAAATTTAAGTAAAAATGCATGTAAAAAGTACTTTTTATAACGAACATTACAGTCAAACCCACTTATAATGATCCCTCATATAACGACCTATCGGTTATAACGACCAACTTTCAAAAAATATACGAATTCAAGGCCCTCTACCCATTAAAATTGGTCCAGATAAAACGACCGTTTTTTAACGCATCATACTGTTACAACCAACAGAAGGTCTGCTTTCGAAAGAGAGAAAAAAAAAAAAAAAAACTCCCGCGCGCAAAATAAAAAAAAAAAAATAATAAAAAGCAAGAAAAAAAAGAAAAACGAAGATTAAAAGAGATCCCAGGCGTGGCAGTCCGCGAGACGCTCAAGGTCATTTTCACAGCATCGCGGCAGGGGAGAAAACAAAACTACAAAAGCAAAAACGTCCTCTCGGGTCGCGTAGTCTGCTCATTGTGCGCGCGCGGGAAGGAGAAGAGGACGAGGGTCAACTCTCCTGCCGTGCTACGTTCGTTTGTTCGCGTTCGTTCTATGCGAACTGTATGCAGCTCAAGAAGAGCTCAATGCTCAGTACAAGTTGGCTAGCCCCATCGCCATTGTTACAGTTTGTTTACGTTCGCCATTTGTATCGTGCACATTCTCTCGCGTCTACGGACTCGTGTCTGTCGTTTTAAAATGGGGGAAAAAAAAAAAAAAAAAAAATCCACCAAGAGGTTTCATTTAAACAAAAGGGCATCATGGCGGAAAAAGATGACAACGGAGCAGCACTGCGTGGCTCGCAATCCCAGCCACCCGACGAGCTCGCAAAGTGTTGTTTGAAAGATGACCCTGCCAGAGGCGACGGCCGCGCACACGTACATGCTGCAAGAAGCACGGCACTTAAAACACTTTAGACCAAAGCAAGTATTAATTATCTCTGTAGACAGCGAAGAACCATCGTCGGGCTAGTGCTCGGCATTTATTTTTGTGGTGGAGTGCGTTTCATAAAATCTGTTCTATGAGGTATGTGGTCAATGTTCATTATTTTACTTGTGCAGTAGAATCGGCAGCAATTTACTTTTTATTTATCTGAAATCTAAACCTGCAATCACGTTAGAATTGGGGGCCCGTTATTATCGTGCAAGCAGTTTCTTTAAATAAAGAGCTGGCAGAGTGAAACTACCTATACCAGCTTTACTTTCCTTATTTATAATGTTTTAAAGGGAAGTCCAGATATAACGAACTACTGATAAAACTACCACTTTTCGCGGAACTATCACGTTCGTTATAAGTGGGTTTGACTGTATATTGGCTATATCAAACTTTTCCCTTCGGGGCAGGCTTCCAAAAATGCGCCAACAATCGTCTTCTAGCCTGCCTCCCCCCCCCCCCCCCCCCCCCAAAAAAAAAAAAAAGTAGGAAAGAAAGAAAAATTCAAAAAGCTCTAGCCACGAAGAAAATTGACAAAGAGAAGCCATGCAGAAGGGGAGAAAGCAAAAACAAAAAAGGAGAGAGAAACAAAAAAACTGCACGCACGCACAGGAAAAAAAACAGCTTCGTCACAAAGCGGCTGCCCACAAAGGAAAATAAGCTAAAAAAAACTCTGCACGCATGCAAAAGAAAAAAATACTTTTTAGCGCATTTGTTACGAGGCAGAGGTGAAAAGATGAGAAAGAAAGAGAAGCTCTCGCCTTTCAACAAGCGCATCGTGGAAGTTCGTTGTAAATGTTGTTTGCTATATCGAACTACTTGCTATATCGAACTGATCGTAGCGTTTCCTGCTGTTCGTTATAAACGGGTTTGACTGTAGGTCGAGGTCATTTTATAGGGTTAAAGAGTCATGAGGGGATGTTATTTTTCGGTAAAGGACACAGTCGTCGGCAAATAGGCACATGGGTGAAGATACCTGAAGAGGAAGATCGTTCATGTAGATGAGGAAAAGTAACGGACCAAGCACCGTTCCCTGAGGCACGCCAGATGTTACGGGGGCTAAAGTAGAAGAACAATTATTAACATGAACAAACTGATGACGCTGAGAGAGAAACGATTCAATCCAGGAGAGAACATTTATATCGAGGTTTAACGACGATAGTTTTAGAAGCAGTCTTTTATGCGGAACTTTGTCAAAAGCTTTAGCGAAGTCGAGGAATACAGCGTCAGTGGGGTAGCCAGAATCAAGGTTTGCGAACAGGTCGTTTGTTAAGCAGAGAAGTTGGGTTTCGCAGGAGTAGTTTCGACGGAAGCCGGGCTGCGCTTTGTTAAAGAAGGAGATAGAATCAAGGTGAATAGATAGTTGCTTGTGGATTATGTGCTCCAGTATTTTAGATGGTACAGAAGTTAGAGATATTGGCCTATAATTTAAAGGAGAAGATTTATCAGCGCTTTTGTGGACCGGGATGACCTTGCCGATTCTCAAATCCTCAGGAACCGCCGCCGTATCTAATGATTGTTGAAAAATTTTTGTTAGAACTAGGCTTGAGGAATATTTAGCGCTTTGTAAAAGCTTAGAATTTATGCCGTCGACACCACAGGAAGAGGACATTTTCAGTGACTTAATAATACTAGCAATACTTTCGTAATCAATACAAATTGGATCCATAGGTAAAACATTGCTAGTAATAGGTAAGGACAGTGTTAAGGGACAGTGGACGCTGAAATGGGAAGAAAATATATGATTAAGAACAGTGGCACACTGATTAATTTCCGATAATGTTCTCAGAATCATCAATAAGCGCTGTGGGGAGTATGGTACATGATTTACAACATTCCAAAATCGGCGTGGGTTGTTTAGTGGCATAGATGGAAGGGTCTCCTGGTAGAATATGCGCTTCTCCTGCTCTAACATAATTTTGTATTCAGTGGCGCATTCATGATATTTATGACCATATTTTATGATATTTAGACCATAGATATTTCACCAAACATATTTATGGAAAGGGACAGTTTTGTTGCTCGAGAGACATTTTCCAATCGTGTATAATACAAAGAAAGGCCCGCATAATGCAGCATGGCAAGCAAAGCAATGCCAACATTGTTAATTTCTATATCAATTTTTTTTTTTTTTTTTTGGGGGGGGGGGGGCGCTGTTTTGCGTAATTGAAGGTTGATTTATAATCATAACCAAAGACAGTTGAACCCTAATAATTAGCTAAATATACCAGCCTGTCAAGCCAACAAGGATGCTCTGTTATGTCAGCTGTTCACTGCTTGATGTCGCATCGGTGCATGTGTAAAGTGTTAAGTAGCGAAGCTCGACACGCGCGCTGGTGTGGACCAATGAACCATGACACGAGAGCACCGGTGTTAAGCAGTGAAAGCTTGACACGAGAAATCTGAGAATTCTGAAGACATCCGTAATTTTCAAAACACTCAAATACTTTGAACAGTCAAAAGTGTGCTACGAATTGAATCGAATAGCAAGCACTTCTACTATGCACCAATAACTGAGCTCATTACAACAGACCATGGTAGACACCAAGGGCTATAGCTGCTGTAAGCAGCGTATGCAGGACGTGCATGCTGCTCTGGAAGATGGAAGTTGAAATTCAACTGAAGCTTGTTGAATGCAACTAGTTTTTGGTTGCTTGTTCATTATACGAGCGAGTCACCAATATGTAGAGGCTAAGACGTGCACCATCTTTGTCTTTTCTGCCGAATCTGGATGCCAACTGGCGTTACTAGCAACTAAAGTTTGAACCTGGAAGACCAAATCGGCGAATTAACTGGGAAATTCGCTAATTGTCCGGGACTTCTAATAAACCGAGATAGAATTATCGAGGTTCCACCGTATGTGTTCGTAAGG